AAGAGTCTTGAGCCAAAAGACACTGGTGCATACGTTTTCATTTCACCTTTGTTGTCAGTCTTCACATAGTCTTCAACCATGAGCACAAAACCGGTTCCATGATAGCTTGCGTCACAGAGTATTACGTATTGTAGTCCTGGTTTTGGTAACCGAAGTGTTATGTCTGTTGCTTGTATCAGATCATGCTTGAGCACTTCAAGACTTTTATGGTGCTCTTCATCTGTTTGAAAAGCAACATCTTTTCTGAGAAGTCGATAAAAAGGTATCAGTTTTTCTCCTAGGCTTGGCATATAGTTGCGAAAAAACTGTACAAAACCGATTAATCGTTTAACTTGTTTAACCGTTTGTGGCATTTTAATTTTCTTTAAGAGAGTGGAGATTTTCTCTTGTTCCGGTGACACTCCTGCTGGTGTGATTATGTTACCCAGGAACTTCAGTCTTTGTGTTCCGATCTCACATTTGTTCGGCGACAATTTAAGTCCTGACTTCCGTACACATTCGAATATTTTCGAAAGGGTCGGTATCATTTCATCGAAGTTATACACAGCGCTCCCTATGTCATCCATGAATTGTGTACATAGGTCCGCAGCTAAGCATGGGTCAAGGTAGTGTCGGATAAAAACTAAATCCTGTTATTGATTTACTTAGACCTTGAGCCAGGCATTTGTATGCGTAAGTTCGTGAACCGAAGTTAAATGCCAAAAGTTCGACTGAAAGGTCATCTGCCATTAGCACACAGTGGTATGCTTGTGAGCAATCAAGTTCGGTAAACAAGCTCTTTCCTGCGAAGTGGTTCGAAGCATCGGTCATGTTTGAGATCGGAAAGTTGCTGTTGATATAGTCATTCTTGAGTGAATGGTTTATCCTTCTGAGGTCAATCAACATCCGCAATTTACCAGATGGCTTTCGATGTGCAAATAGTGGACTACTGTATTTAGAATGTGACAATGTTGTTATAAGTCCATAATAGTGCATAAGGGCAAGTTCCACTATCAATTCGTGTCGCAAATGTATCGGCGTAGGTGGTCCTTGTGTATACAGAGGTCGTGTGTGTTCCGGTTTTAGTTTGATTTTGAGGTCGGAATTGTACCCAACATCGAATCTATGTTTGGCGAAGATGTCCGAAAAGTCAACAAGCAAATCTACTACTTTTGACCTTTGGTCTTCTGTCAACACTGAATTCTCCCACTTAAAGTTCTTGATAAATGTCAATCGATCTTGACATTTCGTTTTCGGTTCAAGTTTTTCACGACCTTGAAAATGAAGAATTTGGTCGTAAATGTCGCGTTGGATTTGAGGAAGTAATTCAGGGTTTGGACATGTTTCAGGCGTAGGAAACCAAAATTTTTCATACTCAGGTTCATGCTTCATTTGGGGCTGCTGACTATCACACGATTGTTGAATTAGCTCATTAATGCCCATTTCAATATCGTCCGGGTGGTTCATTTTTGCAAATGCAATCATTTCAGGTTCGATGGGGAATAAATTTTCTGCTTCTTTCAGAGTCAGAATTGAAAATTTCCCAATTTCGTTTTTGAAAGGCAAAGTAATGTGATGATCGGTGATGTTAAACGCTGTGATATACAACAGGTTGTTTTTCAGCACTTCGCTTATTGAAGAAGTGAACGCAATTTCACAGTTTTCTACAAATTCCTGAGCTGGAATCACGATTCCGGTAGTTTTTTCCATGTCTTGACATGTGTTCTCTAGCTGGCATTCTACAAGAATTGTCTGATGCGGGGCTATTGCTTGACGTTTTGTCAGAAGCAAAGGGAATTTTTTCACTCTATTGACTCTTCTTGGCTCGTTTGGAGGTTTTATTTCGTTGATTTGAAGGGTCATATCTTTGAAATGCAGTAGATTATACTTCGGACAGACATGAATATGATGTTTTTTATAGAAAGGATTTCCTAGAATTATTGAATTGGCTGCATGAAGAACGAGAAATGATTCTATAAAGGTCATGTCTGCCAATCGGAATTCTAACGTTACTTCAGTTTCAATGGAGACTTGTTGTCCTCCTGCCATTCTAACTCTCTTCAGTTTGGGTTCATTTACTTCAAGAGGGCGAAATAGCGATTTTTCTTCTTTTAGGTCTTCAAATGTCTGTTTTGAGATAACATTTGCGCAGGCTCCTGTATCGACCAGGGCTCTACGTTGTAATCCCGATGAGAAACGTATTTTCGTGTACGTCAGTACTGTTCCTTCAGCAGGGAATATTGCGTAGAGGCTAAGTATCTCATCAGGTTGGAAAAGTTCGTTAGGTGATGATTTAGGTGATTTCGATGATTCGGGGGGCTGACTCAGTGGCTTTATTAGTTTTTTGGCTCGTTTGGAAACGGGAAGATTTGTCCGCGTCCTTTTGGTTTCTGTCGCCACCAGCATTGACTTGCTGTGTGGTTAAATTTTCCACAAACGTCACAAAATTTGGCTGATGATCGCACCATTGGTTCAAAAGGTCCGTTGGGATTTTGCGTTTCAGCTTGAGGCATTTGATTTGCGACAAATTGTTGCGTCGGATATTTCTGGGACTGTTGGAATTGTGCTGATGGATGCATTTGAACCATTGGCTGTTGATTTTGGTACATGTTTGGGTACTGCTGATTTTGAGGGTACAATTGCGAATATGGCTGTTGTGCAACTGGTGGCATATTGTGAAAGTTTGGCTGAGTATTGTTGAAATCAAATTTATTTTGCCAATTATTTCTACGTCTTCCGCCTCTGTTGCCTCGTTGTTGTCCATACCCATTATTTTGGTTTGGCTGATAGCCACTATACTGATCACTCTGACTGTTGTTGTTCCGATTTTGTTCGGGGAGCGGATTCGATTGTTTATTCGACTGCTCAGTTATTTGTGATCTCATTTCGTTAAGCTGCTTCTCCATTTTTTCCTGATTTGTAGACAATTTTGTGATAGCGCTTATTAAATTTTCTGAGACTTTGTCGTTTACTTCGTTGAATCCGTCTTCCGGGTAATCGTCTTTTCGGCAAATCTCACGAATTGTGATTTGCTTCTTGGTCAGGTTGCACAGTTCCTGAACTGTAGTTGCAGGTGGTTGTTCCATCAGCTTTGATCTCAGCCAACCTGGCATTCCCTTAATGAACAGTCGTTTAATTTGTTCATTTCGGTTGTCATGTACAGCATCTATCCTTTCTTGCCTTTGAGCAGTTTCTCGGTGGAATCGTGCTGCTTCTGCTGCTGCAGGTGCTCCAATTATTGCAGGATCAATTGGGGCGACAGCTGGCAAATCTGGTGTCGGATACGCTCGCTGCGCTTTTTTCGTTAAGTTGACCAAGAAATTCTCTGGGGTATCTGTTTTCGGGTTGAATCGCAGTTGTTCTAAATTCAAAACGTGGATTTCTTGAAGTTGGGGATTGCAAAAGTGATCCTTTAGGGCTATGAGACTCGCGGGAACGTTCGCTCGAGTTGCTGGTCCTAGCGCCTGGTAGAATCGCAGCGCGTTGTCTCGTAGGTGCAGTTGCAAGAAGTTCGCTTGTTGTGCGTTTGGTATCGCTGCTACTCCGATGTAGCCTTGAAAAAGTTGCTCGAATTCTGAAAAGTCTTCTTTTTCCGTTCCTCCATAGGGTTCGACCGAAACTTGCGCGTGTGCCATCGTATTACAATCGAATGAATATCAGGGTGATACAGTTGATGATAAGATACAGCACTTATTCAATTTAGGGGGAACACTAGGGAGTTTGTTATATAAATTAGCTGTTAAAGAAGGCTAGCAGTATCACTGATCAGGTTTATTGATGCAATTATATGGTTGTGCTAAAGGTTCCGTTACTTCACTTCTATGGTGGGGAAACTTAATGACAATTATATCAATTTACTGCAGGTTTGAGTTTTGAGTTTGTTTTTAACTAACTGTTTTGTTGATTGTTGAAAAACCTGTAGATTTGCTTTCTTTGTCTGCCTTGTCAGTAGCTCAGCTGCCCTGCCTTCTGACTGGAACAGGAAGTAGTGATGTTGTAGGTCACAATCCACATCTGCTTTTGTAGATTGGAGAAACTTTCAGCCCGGAGATGTTGAGAAGTTGAGGCTGTCTTCTTTTTCTCCCTGTCTGTCTCAGTTGTTCGCTGAATGTTGCTTTGCTTTCCACATCTGAGCGTTGCTGGGTGAAACGGGTTGTGTTGCCCTGTTCTGTTTCAGCAAAGTCCGGTTGTCGTTGTCCGCTCGTGTGATGAAGATTGCAATTGCCGATGACTTTTGGTGAATCCAGAAGTAGAATCTTCCGCGACAGTCACCATGTGATATAGTGTCCCTTCGGATGGCTGTGGACAGCTATATCGTCGTTTATTGATAATGTTGTAAGCTGTTCGAATATTAATTAGCGCTACTGGCTATCAATTGTTATTGATTGTTTCCATAATTTATATGTCTCGAGCGGTTAAGACTTATCTTGCTTTTAAGGACGCAGGATTCGGTTCTTAACTTCTGGAATATCGCTAGTCGATCGGCGCAAGTTAGAGCATGATTCTAATATTTTATTCTCTTCAAGTCTACCCAATTGATTAGTAGCTCGGTATAAATCTCCTCTGATTGGTATTAATTACCATCAATATTTACATAGTTAAATAAATATAAATGTATGAACTTCATTTCATTAACAAGGTTAATTATGTAATCTAATATAGCATAAGAATGCATGACGTCATGTAGTGATGTCACAATGCATTTTTAGTATTTCTGAGAGATTCAGCAGTTTTTGTTGAAAATTTATTGGAATAGAGCAGAGATACGCATTTGGTATTTCTGCGAAATAGAATTACAGCATTCATTTCATGATTTTGAAATTTGAAAAAAAAATTTTAGAGAAAAATTGATGAATTCGGACGTATCAATAAAATTCTGCTCTATCTGCTGCTCTATTAAATATTATGCTCTGTAGGATCTTCAACATTTGCAATAAAGTTTTAAGGATCTTCAACATTTGCAATAAAGTTTTGGAATCGCACGACCAGGAGGAAATGTGAGACAAAAATAAATGACTAACTGGGTTGTCGGAGATGTTCGGCCGATGTATAGCAGAGGGAGAGATGACTCATCTGCAGATTCAGTCTCCGAATCATCCTCAGACCACCACTGCACAACAAAAATTAATAAGTAGTAATTCAGTTAAACGTTAATAGTAAATATTACCGCGAAAAAGATGAAGCAAAATAGAGCAAACAAAATACTTAACTAAATGAAGCCAATTTTATTTTTTCTTAGCATTTAGGCTAGGGTCGTAATTTTAATCGAAGTATTTTGAAATTTATGAGCAAAATTCGTCCGTCCCGAAATTCTGGTTTTGCTATGTTTTTCAGTAAGGAATTCCTTCTTGTTACTGTTCTATTTTCTATTTTTGGCCGTGTCGCTCTCATTTCTAACCAATGTACAATACGTGCCACCAGTCAACGATTCGTCGTTAAAAAAACTTCGCTGTGTAGAAACTGCAAATAACAACTTCTATGTATTTTATTAGAACTAAAAAAAAATGATGTCTCACCAGAAAAAAAAATCTTTTAAAAATCGCCTCACGTCAAAAAATCCTGCTTACACCATTGTACTTGACTCTTACTGGAAATGTGGGAAAGCAATGAATGCATGTGTGTAGAACTGTGCCATGCATAGTGCTTCCTCCTCTCCCGAAAGGCGGATGAAAGTGCCCCCCTTGTGACCCCCTTCGAGGAGACTGATCAGACGAGCACTCAACTGACAGAATTCGTCACTCCTGAAACGAATAATTAACACAATTTAATTCTACGGTTTCACTGTCCAACTGTTTTGCCTCTGCTTAGCAACTTCATGCTTTTCTCGGTTATTTGTCTTCGCCGCCAAGCGCGGCTTTATAACTGAGCACAAAATTGTTCCAGCCCGCTTCTAAATTCAGCAACAAATGATTTCAATGTTTTACAGGCACTTGTTCAAGGAATCCAATAACTAATGATGTCGGCACAAAATACCGTCAAGTTCTTTTAATTGCCATGGAATAAGCCATAAATAGTTGCCTGGTTTTCACGCCTAAAGTATAACTATGTCTAGATTCCATTATGGTTTTGACTTCAGAGCATTTTCGAAACCGGTGCAAAATTTGTGGGATCAAGCGACAATGCCGATGGAATCCAGATCATCATTGTTTATTTAGGCACTTTTTTCGTAATAAACGCTCAAGAGTGCATTTCGCAATAAGCGCTCAGATCACTTGCCAAATTAGCCCAGCTTAGTCTGTTGTTGGCTATATAATGGCGAAAATCATGCAACGAAAACATTTATAAGTGCAGATCAACTTAAATTCAGAAGACTTTCATAAAATGTTCATGACATACCCTTTCAGTGCTTCAGGCGATGTCTTGAAGATCTTGTGGCTGTTACCATGAGCACCTCTGCTGTTCTCTTTGATCACGTGGAGACTGAGTGATTGCTTGATCCAGGGCCAAAGGATACTAGAACACCTGAACAACTTCATCTCTTCTCTCAGTTGTGCTGGAGTTGTGCTGGAGACCGAAGACACTTGAAAACAAGGATAGCCTGTTATTGCAACAGCAGCACAGAATGTTCTGAATACATATGATTCAAGTAAAAAAAATTCAAAAAATAACAAGGACAGCCGGTTGTTGTGCGAGTAGCACAGAATGTTCCGACCATATTCTTGATAAAACTACATTTTTTTTCCAATTTAATGTCGTTTTTTAGCGTGGTTTGATAAAAAAAGATTTAGGAAAAAAACCTGAAATTTAAGCATATTCGGCAATCTTTGTAAAATTGGCCAGATAGACAAAAGATTTGGTCGAATAATGACAAGAAAAACAAGAAACCGTAAAAAAAACACAGTTGAAAAAATACCAAAACTGCGCTAAAAACTTCAAAAAATAATTTGACAATAGAGAATTTAACTTTCAGGGCTTGAATAGGTTCATCCTTCTTCTATTAAAAGCCAATTATACGCCTGCTCGCTCACTTTATTCTCTCAAAATTAGACAAAGAAAATCTAAAATTTGTAGAAACTAAATTTATAAAAGCAAGGCAACTGAAAAATTTGACTTTGAAAATCTTTCTTTCGGCACAATATTTGACAATTTAGTATGTTCATTTGAACTTTAACAACCAAGAATACAGCAGGTATAAAAACAGAATATATCTATTTAGCAGTAGTAAGGTCTTTTAAAATCACTGTTTTTTAGCGTTGTAAAATATTAATTTTCGATACACGAACCTACCTCTTTGCTCTTAAGACAGAGAAGAAAATATACCGCATTCAGACTGTTTTTATTTCAAGAATCTTTAAATATTGACAAGTTTTTGATAAAAAGCAACCAAATACGAGAAAAATGACTTAATTGTAAGGTTTTAAGAATGAAGAGTACTAATTAAAAACTGCTTTTCAGACTAAAGAACCGGCAAACAAGAAGTGGCAAATAGAACTTGCTAGCGATTCATTTTAATGAGTTAACCTAATGAGTCAGTGAGTTATCTACACAACTCCTGCTCAATAAATCTTTTACTTAGCTGCAACGAAGTATTTTAAAATCGTATCAAAAAAACTTTTCGAAAACTTAATCTGCTTTATTGCAAATAATTTGAACTATGTCGAAGTAATTATTAGAAACTACATGAAAAAAGAAACTACGTCAAAGAAGATTAAGATGTACGTTTTATTAGATCTAGCTAAAAACCTTACGATACTCTATATCACAAATAATTCTTGATAAATCAGAGCTGTACGGCATCAGGGGACTATGCCAAAAATCTTAAAGGACAAAAACAACGTGTTCATGTCAAAAAGGTTTTTACCTGAGTGGTTACTTAAACATCTGGGTGTCCCGTAGGACTCAGTTTGAGACGCGCTTCTTTTCTAGCTAAATTTAAATGTTATGCCTAGTCATTCTGCAATATTGGAGATACTTCTGTTTGCGAAAGACAGATAGCTAATAACTGGGAGCGTAGGCCAATGATTTCCGTTTCGATATTCCTAAGCATCTTTGTTGGTTTAATTATTAAAAACTGAAAAAGAAACATTAATTAATTTCAACTACAAATCTGATGTAATAATGTAAAAACAAAATTTCCAATCCTCATGTTGCTATTGATGAAAACTTAATTCCGCGAAAAAAAAACTCATGTATTTAAGCGTTTTTGTTCACGGTAAACTAATTTCAAAGCATCATATTGATTTAGCTATATATAAGCAAGGAAGGGATTGTGGTATTTTTTGAAAATGAAACATTTTGCACCGAAATGGCTCATTAAAATATTACAACTAGTACGTTGAGCCAATTATTGAACATGACTTACTTGTTTACAGTCTTTTTAGCCGCCTTGTTTACCGTGTTTTCAGCCTTGTTTTATAAACAATCTTTTTAAAAATATAATTAGGAAAGAAAGAACATATTTCTTCAGACATACAAATACATTTACAAAAAAAATCAAACAAATTTAGCAATTAAGTTTTGGTAAACGTACTTATTACCTGAAGAGGATAAACTAAGGGCAAATTAGATGCCCACTAAATGTCTACCCAGTGTATAGTGCCTGAGACATAGAACAGTTGTAAATTAAATAGTTATTTAAGCAGCAAGTATTTTTGTAAGTATTTGGAAAACTGCATACTAGCAACATCTGAAAGGTCTTACTTTTGGATAAGTAAGAACCAGAGCCTCAGATGGGTCTCTGGTAGCATCCAGATCAAGCACCGGTTTTTGAAAATAAAAAAACTCTATTTCTTATTTTTTTAAAGTAATACTTAATACAATTGAAAACATTTTCTTTTTACAAAAATGGCGTTTTCTCGAAAACCAGCAATTTCTGGAAGTTCAAACTTTTGGGGTTGAATCAGAGCCTCAGATGGGTTTCTGATAGCATCAAGGTCAAGCACCAATTTTTAGGGGGATAATCAGATCAATTAAATACGCTATGTACTAACTCACTATTACCGTAATTGTCTCTAGATTTGAGTACAATAAGAATTTCCTCATTTTTTGTCATTTTGCCTATATTAATAGGCCGAAAATTATTTCCTTTCAAGAAATGAAGCAACCTTGAAGCCCCATTAGTTATTGAGTACAACTTAGTTTTATTTTTGCAGAAAGGGGGTGAATAGGTTAATTTACCCCAATTCCTTTTTTATAAGCCAATGTTTTTAAGGAAAACAAAGAATGTAGATATTCATTCGGGTTTCTACTATTTAAAGATCTCAGGCAAAACTTCATTAGATCATAAATATAAATTTCTATTTAATCTAGAATTCTATTTTTTGTTTCAAAAGAAGCTGATAAAATGATGTTCTTTGGGAGAAAACCTGCTACCATATCGATTGAGTTCCAGCAAAGCAACAATATGGCTTCTCATAAATTGTACGTCTAAGGTCTCCTAAAAATAACTATGTCTACTATATTAAAAAATTTTGAGGACGATCAGTCATTAAGTTGCGCTCGGATGTCTTCATTAACTGACTTAGGGCTTGGAAACAAAAGCGTTAGAAATAGTTAGAAAATTTTATAGAAAATTTGACCCTTTAAATTGTAATGTCTTCGAGAAAACGCAAGATTCATGAGTATTTAGAAAATTTTAAATAACTCAGAAAAATTCGCAATTGGAAGAATCATTAGCTATTTTAACGTGCCAAGAAAGGGGGGTATGCACCTATATCGAAAATACGAAAGACCAAATCTTGTGAGTGTCGATTTTTTCAAGTTCAAGTTTTTGTGAGAAACTGGAACGTTTTTTTCTTTACTTCTTTCTAAGACGCTACTAGAAAAGATCAAGAGGGTTTTTCACCTATTCAAAAGATTAAGAAGGCTCAAGTTCCTATCTTAGTCGAAATATTTTAGTTTTTCTGATAGAAATTTTTTAATATCGTAATTAAAACAGAATGAGATAATTTTTATCAAGATTTTGTTAAACGAAACCAAAATCAATTACGTTACTTAAATTCATACGTGAGTTAAAGTTAATTAGTTTCCTTACATGAAACTGTGACAAATACCCTGATCCAACCTTACTTTTGAAAATGGATTTTTTGAGAGCAGAGAATGTACAGCGAAACTTTTGGATTTTTTGAACAAATTTGCGAGACTTCAAAAACTATCGTCTTGAATCTTAAAGTAATCAGAAGATATGCAGCCCAAAAAAAACAGACTTCTAATTCCGTTTTTTTCTATACTTACAGAAAAGTTGGCTGGATATACAACTAAAAACATAAATTATATTTGCACTGCTCCAAAGTAAACAAAAAAACAATAAGAACGACTCGAAAACAATAAACATTAAAAAACAACAAAGAGCAACAAAGCTTGACACTTTACAAGCATAAACTCAAAATTTTTTGTCTTTGTTCTTTTTATAATTATTTTCTGATCTGATAGCAATTAAAGCTATCTAAAATCGAGCTACTTCCTGAAAACGCTAAGACCTGATAGTCTACAAAGCTCTTAAGCCATTAACAAAAACTAAGATTGGCATTTTTTCGACAAGATTGAGCCAATTTCAGAAAAACCAATTTCGTTTTTCGAGACGTTTACAGTTTCGCTGTTTGATAGTGGAGTTCACCTTCTTTTTAACAAAGTAAATGAGCTGAAATTTAAAAAAATTCGTAAGTTAAACCGCAAAAAAGTAAAGTTGATCCTGAAAAAATTTTAAGACTTCCTAAAAAAAAGATCGTGACTTATCGAAAATTCTGAACTACGTCTCTTAAAAACCGGATCAAACCTAGATACCAAGAGAAATGCGCATTTGATCAAGATAGATTCAAATTATCTTGAACCCATATGTAAGAAAAAAAATCGATCGGTTTTCCGTTCGATATCGTGCTACCAAGCTTTTTTTCAATTTTCTGTCAACGCAAAAGCTGATCCCTGAGGATATTGAAAGATATTCAAAAACAGAATTCGTAACATTTTATCATACAATTAAAACTGTGTTTTCAGTGCAAAATGAAGAGTTAATCGATTACATATTCAAATTATAAGTAGAAAAAAATTATTGAACCGTGATTGCAAGCTGACGGGGATGTATTTAAGGGTTGAGGTTCTAACGCTAAACTTGACCTCCCAGAAACGCTTAGTTTAGTAGATGTGGACGATTTTTGAAAAATTTCAAAAACTTTTACAAAATCTAATTCGGTTACATTTTCAAATTATAAGTAGAAAAATTAATTGAACCCGTAGTTGCATGCTAACGGGGTCTATTTTAGAGTTGAAGTTCTAACACTAAAACTTGACCTTACAGAAACTCTTAGTTTAGGAGATATGGACGATTTTACGATCTATGAAAATATTCAAAAACTTGTAAAAAAAAATCTAATTTTAATATATTTTTTTCTTTTTTACCGGCGGTTGCCTGCTTACGAAAGTATAATTTAGGATTCTGATTAGAATGACAATACTTGACCATCCAAATGCTCGGAGCTTAGGAGATATGGATGAATTTACGAATTTTTAATACATTCTAAAAACATTTTAAAAAATCTTTTCCTGATAGTGAAAGAAGCATTCATAGCTAGGGTAGGCGTTTGTGGGCCATATGGCCCTGTTGTCTATTCTCTCTGAGTCTCATTTCAGTAATTACTAATAATGATGAATTGCTAAATTTTTGTAATGATTGACCGGAGAAATTTATTCTTTCTTTACCAAAAAAGATTTGATTAAAACAGCATGCCACTCAAAAGTAGCCAGCAAATTTTCGAACAAATCTATCAGTGAAAAGCAATAGTTTTTTTAAATAAAATAATCCAAAAATGCTCAAAAACGGCATAAAAATACGGAAAAAATGGTCAATCTGGAATGTCGCTGCGTCAATTAATTCATGCGCACGCCACTGCGACACTGACAACTTTTTAAGATTTGTTTTTTTTTTAATGTGAATCATGACTGAAAGGGCATTAATATGATATCACACTTTCACTCACGAGTTTTCTCTGATGTTCCCAAAATTGAGTGACACCCACAGCCTCCACGATCCCATTTAAGCCATAGTTACTTCTTACTCTTCGAGAGCGGTCGGAACAAAAACAATTCCTTAACTTATTTCAAATCTCTTACGCGGAGCGGTTGAAGCTCTCTGTGGAACAGCGGAAGCCATTCCAAGTCCAGAGGCGGTGAAAGCTGCCAGGCCAGTTTGGATTGAATGAATCTCAGGGATAGTTGGCGGGGCAGGGGTAGTTTCCGGACTGGGAGTGGGGAATGAGCGACTGGTCCTGCTGTCTCTGTCACTTGGGACACTTTCACTCGCTAGTTTCTCCAAACTGTCGATGAAGCGTGTCATAAGGAACCTTTATTTACACAATTCAGAATTACTCGCCAAACGGAGAAGTAAATCGGTTCCAATTCACTTAATACAATTTTTAATATGAGCACTTCCAGATTATATTGATGTTAATAATCTAAATTATCTGCCATGATGCTCAATGCCCAAAAGCAAACCCAACGCATTCCATTATATCTTCCACTGTGATTCGAAAATAATAAAGGTAAAAACCTTTCAAAAATTTTCATTCGATCGACCTAAAAACAAAAACTCAACTCCTTCCCTCTACTCAAAAAACTAAATCTCCTGCTCGGTGGCACAATTTTAACCTCCTCTTAGTAGAAAATTGTAATTATCTGAAACGTGTCAATGCCAACATCCATGTCGCAAACACATAACGAAGCACCATGACTCACTTCCAGATTCGAGAATTGTTCAGAAGATTGAGGAATCCCCCCTCTCGAGACACTAGGTACTGGCAGCAGTCCAGAGTCTGTCCTGAGCCCTCTTTGCTTGTCGTGTCATTGTCAGTGTTCAGTTGAAGGGGATCAGGCGAGTGTCGCACGATTAGAGAGAGCAAGTCCAGTAGAAACGCCCACCCGTTGTCCCACTCCTTCCGCCCAAGATCCATTTTTTCACTCAAGTAGCCTTAAACAGTGTCAAACAGTGTTATCCTCAGAATGCTAAATACGATTGCTGATACTTTTGAAATTTAAAAAATGCTCTTCTGACAAATTCAACCCAAGTGAAACACAGAATCGATACAACACGCGAAAACTTACAGATAGAAAAAATACGATTTGGTTTTCTAAATTGTTTCAAATTCCCATGCAGCGGTATTATGTCAAAAATATTAAATCGCGACCTTTAAACGACCTATTATGAGGCAGCTTAAACGGTTCAACATACGCCGAAACCATTTAAGCTGATCAACTTTTCAAGCAAACAATAATAAAAACAACAAGACTGCTCGTATCAGGGCGAAGCCCTGAATGTTCCGACTGCTTTTTAAGGTTTATGGAGCCGTAATAACATTAAAAAAATCAATGAAATAAAACAAAATGAATTTTTTTTTTAATTTGAAATTTTTAATGAAAATCATCCCCCCACACGCCATATAAAGTACAAAAGGATAGATTTCGCTCCTGTAACAAATCATTATGGCGAATCAGCTTCTTTCAACCAATTTGGAACGATTTCTAAGACGGATTAAATCTCCGCTTACGCATTAATAGCGCGAAATATATCGCGCGTTAATTGTCCCAAAATGGCCAAAATGGCAATCTTTAAACCCCCGTAACTTTACGAAAAATGATCACAAGTGAAACATTTTTTCAAATTTGAGCTCAGGGCAACAATATCTTTCGAATGATATTAAAAAAACTTCGTCGAAATTCAGAAATTTGTCTGAAGAAAAAAAAACCCACCCCGAGCACAAATATTCCGTTACTTTCGTATCGAAAGTCGGAACAATAACTATTCAAAATCTTGGAAATCATTTACCTGCATCTTAAAATAAGGTACTCAAAATCAATGCTTGGGAAAATATGCCGACAAAAAATAAGCATACAAACGATAGTTCGGCAACTCAGGTTTTCTCAGAAAAAAATTCAATGTCTCTAAACATCAACAAAATACGCCCCGACCAATATTCAACCTCAGACCTTATGCTCCCAAAATACGCACTTATTTTTTACACCAAATAGAAAGAGCTTGGAAGGCACTGAGGTTTCATTTATAGCAAGGTTAATTTCTAAGAAAATTTGTTCACGTGAAAAATTTTACTTCCCGATTACAAGTACACCCGTTCGCGCAATTTTCAGTTATTCAATTTTTTTTAAATTCCGACATAATTTGCGCGGGGTCTTATGCACAAAACGGCCCAAAATAAGTATTTCTACATCTTGATCTTAAGTCAATACATGTTTGAATCTGATTGGTTTATTAGCCAATCAAATGCACACAAAATGGTCCAGCATTTCAATTAAAATTTAAAGCAGATAAATTATTGGCCGAAATGACCAAAAAGATTGAAATTTTTTCGCGTTGAAACCATTTTACTGAACTTTTTTCTTTAGGTATTACTTCACAAAAACATGAAATTACTTTTAATATTTGACTAAGATTCATATTCTCAATTAGTTCGGCTAATATTTTGTTTCTGCTGGAACAGTTGATTGACATGCCTGACCATGTTGCTTGAGTTTGATTGGCTTATAATAGCCAATCAAATTCTGCCGCATTTATTTTAGCTAAAAGATATAAAGATTTTGATTATGGGCCGTTTTGTACATAAGACCCTTTGCGCGGGACAGGTCGAGAGTATAATTAAATTTTTGGAATTGCAAGCTTTGCTGAACAAATATTCATTAAAAGCGTACTAAGCTCATGATAAATTAACTTTTTTTTCCATTATCAGTGTTTTTTTTTTCGGTTACACATGTTAGCAGTCATTCACTTACCAAGCACTTTCAGCAGTACTTGTGGCATCACCTGAAACACATTGAAACCGGATGAGCAACTAAATGGAAGGGACATACGGTTTCATACTGAAGTACCAAATGCGAATAGACACTGAGCATATATTATTATGTAGCAAGATTACACCTCCACTCTAAGTATACAAATATGCTTGGTTGGTTTGCCTTGTTGAAAATGCATTAACCCAGCTCCATCAACCAAACTAGTATCAATTGCACTCTTCCTCCTCCCCCTTTCCCCTAACTCTGTAATTTTCAAATTGACCTGCCCTTCATTTTTTCAAAAATCGATCTGTCATAACTACCTTGATGCACTATTCCATTTGAAAAAAAAACATAGTAAGAATCAGAAAAAAATAAATCTATCATATGAACGTGCTTCAATGATTGAACACGGTTTCAACAATTATCTACAGAAACTTTCAATCATAAACACCAAGACACTATTTTCTTCCACAAAAAATTCGGCTAATTAATGGTAATTTAAGGGCTTTCGGCAAAGGTTCACAACTCAAAATAGCTGATCTAAAAACCGAATCTGAAATGTGTCAAAGTTTCTGCTGGCTTCACTGCTGCTGCTAAATACTTATTACTTACCCAGAGAGCGTCTGGGAAATTGTTCTCTAAGTTCATGGTCTGCTCGTAGAACATCTTCTGGTCAGGAATGCTTTGCAGCAGTGCCACTATCTTCCCTGAAAACACACCAAACACTCTTTCCTTATATATAAAAAAGATAGCAGAGCAATATACGGTAACATTAAGCTATCTAGGTCACATACACATCAGGGATCCTGCAAGAGTTCTAATTTATTGAAAACTCTAAGATCTTCGAAGACTTTCTCTTCGAACAAATAGATTGTGGCATCACTCCATAATGCCATGCGTTACAATAGTCATTTTAATAGATAATGTAAGTTCACCTTGATATTGAGTTGGAGCTCATGCTTTTATTTATTTAGCTATGTAAACATTGATGTTTAATAATATCAATCATTGGAAAACTATACCGAGGTACAAATCAATAAACTAGAAAACAAACAAATTAATTATTCCAGTCAAGCTCTCACTTGCGCCGATCGACTAGCGATATTCCACAAGCTGAGAGTCGAAACCAGCAACCTCCACAGCAAAATCTTAACCGCACGAGACATATCTAAATTATGCTTAAAAAATAATTATACTTGATAGCCAGTAGCGCCAAATAATAATCATACAGCTCGCAAATAATAGCAAACGACAAAATAGCGATGTTCAGGCAACCCCTAGACACGCTATACTATATAGTGACAATCGCAGAAAGTTCTTATTCTGGATCACCAAGTCATCTGCAAATGAAGACTAAGACTCAGAGACATTAGTGTCATCCGCCTCCTTAAGGTGGCACCGGCTGTAGCGAAATGGATGAAATTTTCCTCGCCCACAGTGTGTCCTGCACTGAGCAGGACCTGGGACAAACAAACACTCGAGCAGGCAAAGAAAATCACTAACTGCTGAAACAGAACAGTGCAATAAGACCTAATTCTAACAGTAACTCTAAGATGTGGGCATCAGAGTAACACAAAATTGCAAGCTGAGAAAGGCAGGAAAAAAAGACAACTTTTCTGGCCTGACAACTTCTTCTATCTAAATAGCATATATGGATTGTGGCTATATCACCACAAGTTCTAGCAGCAGCGAAATGGTTTATCAATTAAGCTATTGAAAAAGCAGGAAGAGAAGTGGATCAAAGGTTCACAACGACAAAACACTTAGTAAATACCAAAAAATTGAATCAAAAGCTTGCAGTAAACTGATACTGTGAATAATTAACTCCCAACCACAAAGGTGAAGTACGGAATTTTAGCACACACTGATCATAATCACAACAAAAGAAAAGCAATAGCTGTACTTATCAGAAACTACTCTTAAATTGCCACAGTTAGCAAATTCTCTTGTGCTCCCCCTTAAAATCGAGTAAGCGCTATGACTTATCATTAACTACATCACAAATCTGAATATCAATCAACTATAAAAAGATGGCACACGCGCAAATTTCGGTCGAGCCATACGGAGGAACGGAATAAGATTTTCCGCAGTTTAAACAATTGTTCCAAGGATATATCTGAGAAGCAGGAAATTGCTTCCAGTCAACAAGCGAACTTCTTGCAATTACATCTACCGAACGCCCGAAAGCGGCACTACAATTCTACCATAATCTACCGGCAGCAATCAGAGCGAGCTAACGTACAGAACAGCCTGGCAGACCTTAGACCTTAGGAATCATTTTTGCAACACTTATCTTCAAGAACTTCACGTCCCAATAGCAGATACGGTCAAAAAACTCTTTGACAGCTTAAAAAAGCGCAACGAAGGTATCCTATCCCCGACTTGCCTGCATTAGCCCTGATTGACAGTGCAGCAGCAGACGCGGCTAAAGAAGCAGCCAAATTTCTAACGCGGGAATCGCAGAAAATATGACCACCCGAAAGACGGAATTCATGAAGTAAACGGCAAAGTCTCGGAAAAGTTAATGAGAGCTCTCTCAAAACTGTCCACAAATCAGGAACAACGGGAGAAGCAGCCCAACGAAACGCAATCACAGACCACCGAGCAGTCGATGAAACAGTCGGATGGATCCGCCTTCAGAACAAAGCTAGAAAACCACAAAAGGTCAGTTCAGTGGTTACCAACATAACCCAAACGATTGGTCTGGACAAGAGAGAGGAGGCAAACGAGGGAAAAAAAAAATCGGAAAAACAAATTCGGAGTTGGCAAAATTCAAATTACATCATAAGGAGGGTTGGAACTAACTATACGCAGTGTGTACATCGCATACGTCTCAGACCCGTTGTTTTACATTATCAACCAAATGATGTCGAACTAATTGACACAACAAAACTTGAAACAGATCTATCACTCGGTAAATACCAAAGTGAGCCAGGACTTTTCGATGACTACGGAGGAACAGCAGTAGCACCAGCTTCTGCAGGACCAGAACTCTCTCCAGCAGCACCCCATGTGGCACCACGACCGATCCCAAAACCAGCCCCCCTCCATTTCTGGATCAGCTTCCAGCGCATGCAGCAACACACATGCAAGAGTTACCATCTGCCCAGCATTGACGAGCATAGCCCTGCAGGATTAATCAACAACGACTCGGATGCTGAGGGATATAATCTCGACGAATTGTTCTGAAAACCGCAGCCAGTTGTAAGTCGAAAGGCAGCAGCAGCAGCCGCCAGACCCCGGTACTATCGCCAAACTCGACTTAGCAATAACGCGTCAACCACGATGATGCGGACTTCGAACAGCGAGCAGTCTATGTACACGAAGTGGTTCCTGTTACGTTTCGCGCAAAATCAACTACGACAAAATCGAGCAAAAATAAGATGTGGACCCGGCAGATTGAAAGAAAGTAGTTTTCAGTTTAATCAACAACATTTTCGAGAACACGAACATCAAAATAGTCATTTACCTACAAGGAAAGCTCAGGATATCACCTTAGACTACTGGAGCATGCATTTAAACCACTCCTAGCTCCAAGCATAGCAAATTGATGGTACTGCATTTGAAAAAACGAAATTGAAACAAAAAAAATGAAATTTGGAAAAACTCAGTTGTTTAACACACAAAAAACAACACCATAGTCACTGCATATAAGTTGCAACGGTTTCTGACTAATAGTTAAGCCTAAACGACTTATCAGACCTCATGTAAGAAGTCGCTCTTCAAGCAGATTGCAACTTCATGAAGATCTCAAAAAATCCACCTGGTGCCTTCATATTAAGATTACAAAAAAGCATTAGTGGGCTCCATCGTCAAAAAAAAAAGATTGCAAAAATTTCGAGGCCACTCATCACTATGACCCTAATGACAATCTTTCGCGAAGATGGTCAACTAGGAGGCAACTACTTTATGAAGATCTCGAAAATGCACCTGTTGCCCACGTATTAGGATTACAAAAATAGCGATAGCGGTAAGGGACCTCGTCGAAACAACAAATAAGTGGAACAAATTGACACCATTCATCGCCAGTGCCCTGATCAGAAACCTGGGAGAAGTCGGTCCACTAGGAGATTAAAACTTCATCATGATCTCGAAAAAACCAACTGTTGCCCACGTATTAGGATCAGGAATAAAAAAAAAAGTCCGCGGAAAGCCGTCAACAGTGGTCAATCTCGTCATTTTTTTAACGTTATCATCCTCCAGGGCTCAAATGAGGAGCCTGCACAAATTAGGTCTCCTAGAAGGCCAAAATTTGGAGAGATACATCGTTTACATAATTCCAGTGTATTGAGATAGGCAAAAGCATGAAAATTCGAATAAACCCTTTTAGAAAAAAAAAGATCCGAATGCGCCAAAAATTTTTCCATTTGAATTGTTAGGACAACCTTAATAGGCTGTCAGAGATACGGAAGAAATGCGTCGGAACTCAAAAGATACGATAATACACTAAAAACATCAAGAACTGATGGGTGAAAAATCTGAATTTACCAACTTTAATTCTAAAGAGGCAGCAATTCGCGAGAATCAATCAAAGGAGTGAAGTCTAAGTCTTTCTAGAAGAATTAAAGACAAAATAGCAAAAACTCAGACTCCGCACAAAAGACAATGGTTGAAAAAACATTCTTGAAAAATTGGATTTCTGTCTTAGCAAAAAAAATAAGCCTATCATTTTCGTTCAGGGATTAAGGCCAGCAAGAGGCTCAGAACACCTGAAGAAAGAAACGAAGAAGACTATCTAAACCAATCAGATACAATCCAAAAACGAACTTTCACCAATAAGCATGTAAACCCAAGTACAAACTGATCTCTTTGTAGAAATAATTTGACAAAAAAATCACAGTTGAATTGTTGGAAAAAGATTCACACTTAATGAGGTCAAGCGATAAATCCATCCGCCTCATTTTACAATACTTCAGCAACAACTCAACTTGAGCATCAAGGAAGCACAACAAATGTCACGCAAGGAACGTCAAACGAATGGAAAACAAATCAGCGATACGACGAACAGAAAAATAATCATAGTCAGTTACACAACCTTAGAAAATTTGTGTAAATTTAGTTACAGTTGACAACTGACATATCAAGATATCATTATCATCTATCACTTCACTTCCAAACCCAGACTAAAGGTGGCTTAGCAATTATCTGTTCTTTAAACTAAATGCAATGACGTCTCTAATGGTATAAATTAAAGTAATAACATGTTCTTTTTGATTATTGAGTCTTTTATTCTATTGTGATACAACTTCAGATAGATCGATTTATTTCGAGACAAACATGAAAGTATATATTTTGTCAAAGCTAGCTGAAAATTTTTTATGTGAGCTATTGTAAATGTATCTAAGCAAAAGCTTCAACTACCCGCGAACATATCTTCTTAATATATTATATAGTTAACCTTGATTTTGAATTGGAGATCAATTTTTTTTATTTAACTATGTAAACATTGATGGTTATTATTACAAATCATTGGAAAATTATACTAAAATTAGGAAAACTAAAAACCAATTAGTCAGAAAACAACTGAATTAAACATTCCAATCGTGGTCCAACTTGCGCCAATCGACTAGCTATATTCCAGAAGCTAAGAACCGAAAACAGCATCCTCCAAAGCAAGATAAGTTCTAACCGCTCGATCCAAATTATGGTTACAAAATAATTAATAACAGTAAACGGCAATATAGCCGTGCTCAACCATCCCCAACACACGATATATTATATAGATGAAACAAAAAACCTGCTAATCCTAAATTGTTTAGGCGAATAAAAGTTTCGGCGGGGATTCGGCTACTTCGCAGGCCTGCTAGCCCGGAGAAACGTTTCAATAAAAAAAGTACCATAACTTTTTATTCAGCTACCTGACGCGCTGCTAAGAGAAGACATCACGTGCAGATCCACGTCTAATTTCTCTTCCACAGCTTTGCAGTCTCCCCCTCCGAAATGTGACAGACCCCCTGTCCCACTAGTTCCATGAGATTCTCCCCCATCATGGCTCGAGCTCCCAATAGAAGAACGTTTGCCACTCAGTTTTTGTCCTGGGAAGGGATTAACGCGTGGAAGGTTACGGGGCTGAAGACTTATCACAGCTGTCTAAAATTGAAGTAGATTCAAGAGTGACTGCTCATATGAGGTCAAAAATTCTTGCAGTGTGCCTTATATCATCGTTTTAGTTCATATGATGACACACGATTAATATTGCAACAATATAACCATGAATGTTCAAATTACCTCGTTTTACATGTTGCAAACTTGCCTCGTTTTTTGATATTATTTGCACCGGGGCCTCACTTTGACTTTTGAACTTCTGCTCTTCTTTACAGCGGAAAAAAAAGAAAATGCTCCAAAATAAGCTCGCTAGAACTTTTCATTTTACCTCTTTTTTGATAAAGCAACATATACAGAGAATAAGCACGTTTGACAAAAAAAATATCTACAAAATGTATTTACTAATATCAACAAATACAGCGGGGGTACGTACAGCAGTGATTCTCCATAGAGATCGAAAGTGCGGCAAGATTGGTCGTTTATGGAGCTAGTGGATAAATGGTGTGAATTTAATCAAGTAAAAAACACCCCTAAATTGCGTTCCGTAGAGATTTGAGAGTTAAGTTTTCGAGAAAATTCAAAAAGATCCACAAAACTTACAAAATTCAAAAATTTGACTAGTCTGAGGGCCAAAACTTTTGATTTTTGCTCTTTTTTTCAAACTCTTTTACCAATTAGGCAAAACTTATGAGCAAAAGCAATTTGGTCGCAGTCACTTATGCAGGGGAGCTTTTTAAAACAGTTCTATCCATTGAAATCAAAAACTTATTTCGAAAAAACGAAAAAAAAAATTGAACTTTCCCACACTTTTTCGAAGGCTGTAGACAGAGAGGTCAAATAAAAAATTACTCTAGGGACCAAACAAAACTCAAAATTCTCAAATTTGAAAATGAACTTTACAAATCACTTTTTCTGGAGGGTGCTGAAACTTCCTGACAAAAGGAAACTAATTTCAAAGGAAATATGAAGTCAAGGCAAGTAAAATTACAAAATTTAGGCGTAGATCAAGCACTACAAACACCATTAAAAATGCGCGTAAAAAACAACTTCAAGATGTGACAACTAAGCCGACAACAGATAAGCAGACAAATAATTGGCCGACCATTTTTTTGGAAACAGAATACTTCCGATTTTAAAAAAAACAGGTCCTGGTCAGACTCGAACCGGGGACATTTGCCCTGCCAGGCATATTCGTTACCCCCAGGCTAAATTAGCCAGGAACGCTAAGAAAGCTGAATATATTATGAAACAGGAAGAGATGAGTTCATACGTCCAGATGAGTCCTGTGGACAAGGTTGTTTGCGGGAAAAGTCTAGTTATAGAGCGGTAATTTGCTTCACAAATGCAATTGTTAAAAGAATTTGAAAAAAAAATGCAAAAATCAAACTTCTCAAATTTCAAAATGAACCTTAAAAATCAAATGAACTTAATAAATGTAAATTCTTGTAACTGATTAACACTTGATTTTCGACCACGGTATGCAGAAAAAGGTACTTTTTGGACCAACATGACTGCGACTGATAACAACTTCCGGAAGTACAATCTATTTTACTAGCAAGTGTGGCAGGAAACTATAAGACTAGCTAACAAGCAGAACTTGAGACATGCTAGACGGATATTCAATTTAACGTTATTTGTTTAAATTGTGTTTGAAAGATTTGATATGAGCTTTTATTTTCAGTTAGTAGCCATTAATTCAATATTGAAAAAAAAAATGTTTCGTTTTTCTTTTCAATAGTTTCAAGGTTTTACACAGAGGCTAAGCTGAGCTTCAACTTGCGAGATACAATAGAGAAAAAATAGAAAACCTTTTTCAAAGGAAAATTTTAAAGCTGCCGAAAAAACTAGATTATCTGAATAGAGCTAAATTTGAGGAAAAAAAACATGCCAAGATAAGAATATGAAATCAGCATTGAAAGAAAACTTAACAAGCGAGAAAAAAAACTATAGAACCTGAGCAGAAATCGTTCCAGCAAAAAAAAACTAATCAAAAATTTCCGAGTCTCCTTCCTCGAAAATATAGGCGAAATCATTTAGGCAGAATAAAGTTTTTAATCGAAAAAAAAACAACAAAAAAGAGAGGAAGTCAAACTCTGTATATTACAAACATCAGAAGTAAATCAAAAATTGAAGAAAAATAACAATTTTCTTTTGGAAATTTTGATTATCTTCCCAAAAGAGCTCTTTAACAATTAATTAAATTTGCTGAAAAACTGATTTAAAAAAAATACATTTCTCAAGCAACTATACACCATAAAATTGTATTCAAGCAATTTGAACAGCTCTTTTAAAACTGAAAATAAAAAAGAATTTGAAAAAGAACCAAACAAAACTCAAAATTCTCAAATTTGAAAATGAACTTTACACATCACTTTTTCTGGAGGGTGCTGAAACTTCCTGACAAAAGGAAACTAATTTCAAAGGAAATATGAAGTCAAGGCAAGTAAAATTACAAAATTTAGGCGTAAATCAAGCACTACAAACACCATTAAAAATGCGCGTAAAAAACAACTTCAAGATGTGACAACTAAGCCGACAACAGATAAGCAGACAAATAATTGGCCGACAATTTTTTTGGAAACAGAATACTTCCGATTTAAAAAAAACAGGTCCTGGTCAGACTCGAACCGGGGAGATTTGCCCTGCCAGGCATATTCGTTACCCCCAGGCTAAATTAGCCAGGAACGCTAAGAAAGCTGAATATATTATGAAACAGGAAGAGATGAGTTCATACGTCCAGATGAGTCCTGTGGACATGGTTGTTTGCGGGAAAAGTCTAGTTATAGAGCGGTAATTTGCTTCACAAATGCAATTGGTAAAAGAATTTGAAAAAAAAAATGCAAAAATCAAACTTCTCAAATTTCAAAATGAACCTTAAAAATCAAATGAACTTAATAAATGTAAATTCTTGTAACTGATTAACACTTGATTTTCGACCACGGTATGCAGAAAAAGGTACTTTTTGGACCAACATGACTGCGACTGATAACAGCTTCCGGAAGTACAATCTATTTTACTAGCAAGTGTGGCAGGATACTATAAGACTAGCTAACAAGCAGAACTTGAGACATGCTAGACGGATATTCAATTTAACGTTATTTGTTTAAATTGTGTTTGAAAGATTTGATATGAGCTTTTATTTTCAGTTAGTAGCCATTAATTCAATATTGAAAAAAAAAATGTTTCGTTTTTCTTTTCAATAGTTTCAAGGTTTTACACAGAGGCTAAGCTGAGCTTCGCACTTGCGAGATACAATCGAGAAAAAATAGAAAACCTTTTTCAAAAGAAAAATTTAAAGCTGCCGAAAAAACTAGATTATCTGAATAGAGCTAAATTTGAGGAAAAAAAACATGCCAAGATAAGAATATGAAATCAGCATTGAAAGAAAACTTAACAAGCGAGAAAAAAAACTATAGAACCTGAGCAGAAATCGTTCCAGCAAAAAAAACCTAATCAAAAATTTCCGAGTCTCCTTCCTCGAAAATATAGGCCGAAATCATTTAGGCAGAATAAAGTTTTTAATCGAAAAAAAAACAACAAAAAAGAGAGGAAGTCAAACTCTGTATATTACAAACATCAGAAGTAAATCAAAAACTGAAGAAAAATAACAATTTTCTTTTGGAAATTTTGATTATCTTCCCAAAAGAGCTCTTTAACAATTAATTAAATTTGCTGAAAAACTGATTTAAAAAAAATACATTTCTCAAGCAACTATACACCATAAAATTGTATTCAAGCAATTTGAACAGCTCTTTTAAAACTGAAAGTAAAAAAGAATTTGAAAAAGAACCAAACAAAACTCAAAATTCTCAAATTTGAAAATGAACTTTACACATCACTTTTTCTGGAGGGTGCTGAAACTTCCTGACAAAAGGAAACTAATTTCAAAGGAAATATGAAGTCAAGGCAAGTAAAATTACAAAATTTAGGCGTAAATCAAGCACTACAAACACCATTAAAAATGCGCGTAAAAAACAACTTCAAGATGTGACAACTAAGCCGACAACAGATAAGCAGACAAATAATTGGCCGACAATTTTTTTGGAAACAGAATACTTCCGATTTAAAAAAAACAGGTCCTGGTCAGACTCGAACCGGGGACATTTGCCCTGCCAGGCATATTCGTTACCCCCAGGCTAAATTAGCCAGGAACGCTAAGAAAGCTGAATATATAATGAAACAGGAAGAGATGAGTTCATACGTCCAGATGAGTCCTGTGGACAAGGTTGTTTGCGGGAAAAGTCTAGTTATAGAGCGGTAATTTGCTTCACAAATGCAATTGGTAAAAGAATTTGAAAAAGAAAAATGCAAAAATCAAACTTCTCAAATTTCAAAATGAACCTTAAAAATCAAATGAACTTAATAAATGTAAATTCTTGTAACTGGTTAACACTTGATTTTCGACCACGGTATGCAGAAAAAGGTACTTTTTGGACCAACATGACTGCGACTGATAACAGCTTCCGGAAGTACAATCTATTTTACTAGCAAGTGTGGCAGGAAACTATAAGACTAGCTAACAAGCAGAACTTGAGACTGTGCTATACGGATATTCAATTTAAATTGTGTTTGAAAGATTTGATATGAGCTTTTATTTTCAGTCAGTAGCAACTAATTCAATATTGAAAAAAAATGTCTCGTTTTTCTTTTCAATAAAATCAAGGTTTAACACAGAGGCTAAGCTGAGCTTCGCACTTGCGAGATACAATCGAGAAAAAATAGAAAACCTTTTTCAAAAGAAAAATTTAAAGCTGCCGAAAAAACTAGATTATCTGAATAGAGCTAAATTTGAGGAAAAAAAACATGCCAAGATAAGAATATGAAATCAGCATTGAAAGAAAACTTAACAAGCGGGAAAAAAAACTATAGAACCTGAGCAGAAATCGTTCCAGCCAAAAAAAACCAATCAAAAATTTCCGAGTCTCCTTCCTCGAAAATATAGGCCGAAATCATTTAGGCAGAATAAAGTTTTTAATCGAAAAAAAATCAACAAAAAAAGAGAGGAAGTCAAACTCTGTATATTACAAACATCAGAAGTAAATCAAAAACTGAAGAAAAATAACAATTTTCTTTTGGAAATTTTGATTATCTTCCCAAAAGAGCTCTTTAACAATTAATTAAATTTGCTAAAAAACTGATTTAAAAAAAATACATTTCTCAAGCAACTATACACCATAAAATTGTATTCAAGCAATTTGAACAGCTCTTTTAAAACTGAAAGTAAAAAAGAATTTGAAAAAGAACCAAACAAACTCTAAATTCTCAAATTTGAAAATGAACTTTACAAATCACTTTTTCTGGAGAGTGCTGAAACTTCCTGACAAAAGGAAACTAATTTCAAAGGAAATATGAAGTCAAGGCAAGTAAAATTACAAAATTTAGGCGTAAATCAAGCACTACAAACACCATTAAAAATGCGCGTAAAAAACAACTTCAAGATGTGACAACTAAGCCGACAACAGATAAGCAGACAAATAATTGGCCGACAATTTTTTTGGAAACAGAATACTTCCGATTTAAAAAAAAACAGGTCCTGGTCAGACTCGAACCGGGGACATTTGCCCTGCCAGGCATATTCGTTACCCCTAGGCTAAATTAGCCAGGAACGCTAAGAAAGCTGAATATATTATGAAACAGGAAGAGATGAGTTCATACGTCCAGATGAGTCCTGTGGACAAGGTTGTTTGCGGGAAAAGTCTAGTTATAGAGCGGTAATTTGCTTCACAAATGCAATTGGTAAAAGAATTTGAAAAAAAAAATGCAAAAATCAAACTTCTCAAATTTCAAAATGAACCTTAAAAATCAAATGAACTTAATAAATGTAAATTCTTGTAACTGATTAACACTTGATTTTCGACCACGGTATGCAGAAAAAGGTACTTTTTGGACCAACATGACTGCGACTGATAACAGCTTCCGGAAGTACAATCTATTTTACTAGCAAGTGTGGCAGGAAACTATAAGACTAGCTAACAAGCAGAACTTGAGACTGTGCTATACGGATATTCAATTTAAATTGTGTTTGAAAGATTTGATATGAGCTTTTATTTTCAGTCAGTAGCAATTAATTCAATATTGAAAAAAAATGTCTCGTTTTTCTTTTCAATAAAATCAAGGTTTAACACAGAGGCTAAGCTGAGCTTCGCACTTGCGAGATACAATCGAGAAAAAATAGAAAACCTTTTTCAAAAGAAAAATTTAAAGCTGCCGAAAAAACTAGATTATCTGAATAGAGCTAAATTTGAGGAAAAAAAACATGCCAAGATAAGAATATGAAATCAGCATTGAAAGAAAACTTAACAAGCGGGAAAAAAAACTATAGAACCTGAGCAGAAATCGTTCCAGCCAAAAAAAACTAATCAAAAATTTCCGAGTCTCCTTCCTCGAAAATATAGGCCGAAATCATTTAGGCAGAATAAAGTTTTTAATCGAAAAAAAATCAACAAAAAAAGAGAGGAAGTCAAACTCTGTATATTACAAACATCAGAAGTAAATCAAAAACTGAAGAAAAATAACAATTTTCTTTTGGAAATTTTGATTATCTTCCCAAAAGAGCTCTTTAACAATAATTAAATTTGCTAAAAAACTGATTTAAAAAAAATACATTTCTCAAGCAACTATACACCATAAAATTGTATTCAAGCAATTTGAACAGCTCTTTTAAAACTGAAAGTAAAAAAGAATTTGAAAAAGAACCAAACAAAACTCTAAATTCTCAAATTTGAAAATGAACTTTACAAATCACTTTTTCTGGAGGGTGCTAAAACTTCCTGACAAAAGGAAACTAATTTCAAAGGAAATATGAAGTCAAGGCAAGTAAAATTACAAAATTTAGGCGTAAATCAAGCACTACAAACACCATTAAAAATGCGCGTAAAAAACAACTTCAAGATGTGACAACTAAGCCGACAACAGATAAGCAGACAAATAATTGGCCGACAATTTTTTTGGAAACAGAATACTTCCGATTTAAAAAAAACAGGTCCTGGTCAGACTCGAACCGGGGACATTTGCCCTGCCAGGCATATTCGTTACCCCTAGGCTAAATTAGCCAGGAACGCTAAGAAAGCTGAATATATTATGAAACAGGAAGAGATGAGTTCATACGTCCAGATGAGTCCTGTGGACAAGGTTGTTTGCGGGAAAAGTCTAGTTATAGAGCGGTAATTTGCTTCACAAATGCAATTGGTAAAAGAATTTGAAAAAGAAAAATGCAAAAATCAAACTTCTCAAATTTCAAAGTGAACCTTAAAAATCAAATGAACTTAATAAATGTAAATTCTTGTAACTGATTAACACTTGATTTTCGACCACGGTATGCAGAAAAAGGTACTTTTTGGACCAACATGACTGCGACTGATAACAGCTTCCGGAAGTACAATCTATTTTACTAGCAAGTGTGGCAGGAAACTATAAGACTAGCTAACAAGCAGAACTTGAGACATGCTATACGGATATTCAATTTAAATTGTGTTTGAAAGATTTGATATGAGCTTTTATTTTCAGTCAGTAGCAATTAATTCAATATTGAAAAAAAAATGTTTCGTTTTTCTTTTCAATAAAATCAAGGTTTAACACAGAGGCTAAGCTGAGCTTCGCACTTGCGAGATACAATCGAGAAAAAATAGAAAACCTTTTTCAAAAGAAAAATTTAAAGCTGCCGAAAAAACTAGATTATCTGAATAGAGCTAAATTTGAGGGGAAAAAATGCCAAGATAAAAATATGAAATCAGCATTGAAAGAAAACTTAACAAGCGGGAAAAAAAACTATAGAACCTGAGCAGAAATCGTTCCAGCCAAAAAAAACTAATCAAAAACTTCCGAGTCTCCTTCCTCGAAAATATAGGCCGAAATCATTTAGGCAGAATAAAGTTTTTAATCGAAAAAAAAACAACAAAAAAGAGAGGAAGTCAAACTCTGTATATTACAAACATCAGAAGTAAATCAAAAACTGAAGAAAAATAACAATTTTCTTTTGGAAATTTTGATTATCTTCCCAAAAGAGCTCTTTAACAATTAATTAAATTTGCTGAAAAACTGATTTAAAAAAATACATTTCTCAAGCAACTATACACCATAAAATTGTATTCAGGCAATTTGAACAGCTCTTTCAAAACTGAAAGTAAAAAAGAATTTGAAAAAGAACCAAACAAAACTCAAAATTCTCAAATTTGAAAATGAACTTTACAAATCACTTTTTCTGGAGGGTGCTGAAACTTCCTGACAAAAGGTAGTAACACAGCATATCATATATCACTTTCGTTTTTCATGAATTTGACCTTACATAAGCCTGAAGCGCCAGGTTGGTCTGCGAACGTCGTGCGGTGCGTCCATCAAGGTTTTCCGCACACAGTCTGTTACTAAGTGGCAGAAATAGCTCAAACTCAGGCACCACTGCCCCCACGCCACCACCGCCCACCGAATCCTGCTGCTGGTGATTCTCTAAACAAGATCCTGATTAAGAAGAGACGGATGCCCCCGCTTTCAAGCATTCGGTATCCTTTAGTTCTATTTTACGTTATATGTTTCCGTCGACTACCAGCAAAGTTTTTCTAAAGGCACCTTTGCCACAAATACGCGCTATATTTGTTCCAAAAAAAAAACAACAATACCAAACTCAGGGGCATAAACTTCATCTATCAAGCTAAGAGATTCAGGGCAGGAGTTTTACTCAGCAGATTCAAACATGTTGTATTTCAAAGGGGAAAGAATAATTCTTAAGTAAATTAATTGTACTTTGATTTTTGAGGATGTCATACGTGCTATTATTAATGCTATTATTATACTTCTATTAATCGATGTCTACGCAGGTCAACCATATCTCATTGCTTAGCAGACCACTGCGATGTTTGCTTCTTGAGTTTATTTAATAAGCAGCAAAGAATCTTCCTTACAGCTAGCTATATTTTGAATAGTTTTTTGACAATTTGTTAATTTGATCGTGTTAGAAAACAGTTTTTCTGTGAATCTGATTGAACTGTCGTTCAAGTTACTCATTAACATGGATGGTATCTATATATTATTTCCTATTTAATACTAATGAACTATTGAGTTTTCAGAGTCTCTGATTGGCTGCTTGGGTTCATGTCTGTCAGAAGATAATAGCATTCTGAGCAGGATGAACTGTCATAAAATAGGAAGATGGGTTGAGGGAAAACATGGTGTTCTGCACAGAAACCATTGTTTTAATTGAACTTAACTAGCCTTTATAAATCGAGAAGAGTAGAAACAAGTGCTGCAAGTGGTTGCTTCCGAAGCGCACCTGTAAACATCACAAACAATTCCATGCAAAATGCGTTATAAATCGAAGATGATTATAATAACATATAAGATATTACAATAAAAAACGGTATAATGCTTAATCTATGACAAACTGCTACCTGACTCAAATATACTGAACAATTTAATGAGCTGTCGATGCTAGTTTTGATGTGTTACCGTGACAAGGTCCTCCAGGGGTAAAAGGAGTTCCCCCTTCGCGTGCTTGGGCACTGTGAACGAAGGACTAATGTATTGGCCACACCACTCCGCTCCCACTCCAACTCGTAGCGCCTCCTGAACAAAATTTAAAAAATAAACAAATCATTGACTTTTTTCGTTCATTTCTTTGCACCACCTATTCGAATAGAATGACCTAAAGCTTAGACTGACAGAGATCGATAATATCAGGCTCGTATTCCACGCAACTTCAACATCTTTTTTGCTTTCATAAGTATCGTTAGCCGTATTGTTTCACAGAAAAATCTACGTTTTGATAATGTACTTGAGGAAAATTAATCTGATTTGACCAATTTCATACAGAGAGGCGAATCTGAGTTACACTTGATCCGTCTAAAGAAACAAGCCATAAATACACAAAAAAAATGCGCCAGAAATAAAATACATTACTACTGATTTGAAACTTTTGAGCGTATCAAACAAAAACAACAAGTAATCGGAACCAATCCTACGATCTATAGAGTCTTAATGCCGCACATCAACATCTCAGAGACATTTTCAATCTCAATAGCTCGTATGTCAAGCTTCATATACATTTAGCCAATGTAACTAAAATTCATCAGACAAAGTTACTCATTCTGCATACTACTCTCAACTGGCGATTTTAGTTATCTTCCAACCTGTACTTTCGTACTTTTGTCAATCAAGAGGAAAAGTTTGAGCATGTCTGCATTTCCAGTTATATTCGAAAAATGAGACACGTTGGCTGTAAATTTACCAACTCCAATTTGTTGAAATGTTAAATCTCGTTTTTGTTTCTAATCGGATGTCAGCTAAAACTTCAGTTTTTGTCACCGCTACGTAAATCTTCGTTGCGAGGCTTATTTAACATTCAATTGCGCACATGAAAAACGAAAATTATGATAGATATAGTTTTTTCGACATTTTGCATTTTTCGTCAGCGTTTGTTGTTTCATTTTATACCCGATGACTTGCCTCGCTAAAAGAAAGACAGACAGAAAGAAAGAAAAAAATGGGGAAGGAAAATTTATCCTAATAAATATATACAATGAAATTGCGGTCATTAATGACATTGTGGAAAAAAATAAGATAGAGGTGAAGCTGAGCTTCGCACCACTTGCGATACCTAAAGCCACCGACTCTTAAAAAATTACAAAATGCCAAAAAAACAACACCCGAAATTTAACATTCAATTGTTTGTCTTCAATTGTAAATCTTCAATTGTTTGTCTCAAACTGAACCTCATTTTGATGAAAAACCTCTGGCAGAAAACAACAGCCAGTATTGAACTAGCTTAAAGACTTCAAATTGCGCTGAACATTGCGCTACAATAAAATAAAAATTGAAGAAGTTGGAGAAAAAAACGGCTACAAAAACTTCATGCTTAGATCAAATGACGTTCTTAAACAGCCTTAAAAACAATCCGAAATCATTCATGGAGCGGCAACAAAAGCGACTAATTTTGGGTTGAAACCTGTTGAGTCGAAAACAAAACTTCATGAAGTTTTAAAACTTTTTACGACCCATCCATACTCAAGCACATAATCCTTTATGAACAAAGTTTGCCCTCGAAATTACGTTGACTATGCTGTAATTATAATCTGCTTATATATTTAAAAAAAAAGAAAAACAAATTCAAAATCAGACTCGGTACAATGACAAATTACAGAACTTGCAATTATAGTAAAAACAATGTATTTAACACCAAAAAAACTCCATGCTTTGCAAAGTAGGGCGATAAAAATTAGTACCAGATAAAAAAAATGGAAAATGAACCGACGGAAACTAGGCCGAAAACCACGAATCCCAAAAAAAAAATTCAAATTCAATTCTGTGAACAAAGTTATTTACGGGAGAAAATTCTAGTATCCGACTGCAATTCGCTTGCTTATTGCAAGGGTAAAAGCTAATTAAAAAGAACGGGGATATCTTCATCAAATAATGTCTGTTAGTTGATGAATGTGTTGATTTGAGAAAATAATTCAATTGTTTTTGTTGGATAACTTAATTACAGGACAAGTTGTTTACAAGAAGAAGTCTATGTTCGGAATTGATTACGCTTGTTAATCGCGAGCATAATAATCGCATTTGTAATAATTCTGTGCTTATTACCGACCTTGCATGAAATTAATAAGTATTTTATAGTTCAATTACCTCTACCAATGGAGATTGAAAATGGCATCTGGAAAATTAGAATAAAGCTCAACTTAAAAACGAGGCTGTGGTACGGGAACTAAGCAGACAAAAAAAAACGAACAGACGGATGATATTCCGAAAAAGCAGAAAACTTCTAGTTTGCAAGAAAATAGTTCCCGGCCGGATTCAAACCTCAAGCCTTTCTCGTCTCAAATATCTGTGTTATCTGTACGTCAGATGTGCCGAATAGCTCATTGATTTGAAGTTTATCATGACACAAGTTGAAACACGTGTTACTGTCACGTGGGAAAGCTAGTGAACAAAGTTGCTTACGGCAAGAAAAAAGTCGTGTACCCGATAGCAACACCCCTTCTGATTGTAAGGGTAAAAAGATCAGGTTTGAAATACCCAGATTAAAAAAGTTGTTCGTCATTTTAATGACAATTGGCTGAGATAAAATTGAACGACTGAATCAATCGCGGGTCTGAGAGTGATAAGTTCTGATGCTAGATCTTCTGGACAGGAAAGAGCAGAAACACCATATTATGCTGAAAAACAATTTAACTTTGAGCTTTTCATTCGTGACTTTTTTCAAAATTTTTTGCAGAGCATCTGTTAAATATCATGGAGAATCTCACGGAAATCATTCCATTTTTTTCTGACACGCTGACCAGCAACGACGCATACTTCCGATTTTTGGAGGAAGGTATTAAAAAGATAAACGAGAACTGTTGTCTCGACTCAGACCTCGTTTGAAAGATGTTGGAATTTTTGGGGGTTCTCTGAAAAAGACATTAACAATAAAAGACCAGCTCTAAAAGCTTATCAATTGAAGAAAAAAACAGCCATGTCATGTCGCGACAGCATGCATAGTATCATCATTTAGGCGCTACGTTTGTCCTAAAAGATGCTGTCGATTAATAAAAAGTAAAATAGCAAACAAACAAAAACTTCTGAAAAAGGGTCTTATTTTGAACAATATGTTTTAAGATAGCAATTTAGGATAGCAATATGTTTGTTCATTTTATTTGCAGCACTAGCAATACTCACATCGACCACCTGGAACTTGTCTGTTTCGTCTTTGAGTCGAATGAGTTGCACACGCACGAAGAGTCTCTTCTCCTTGTCCTTCTTCGCCCCCAGCCACAGTCGTCTCAGCCTCAAGTGGGCAAAATTCCACACTCCTCCCACGCCTAAGTGGGCAAACTTGATGTGCATATTTCATGTTTGAATTTAAAAAACACGGAGCGAAGCTGAGCTTCGCGCCACTTGCGATACAAAACAAAAAAAATAGAAAAAAAATCGGAAATGTAGAAAGAACTAGATTTACCAAAATGAACACAGAGGCGAAGCGGAGCTATAATATAATTAATGAAAAAAAAGACTGAAGTCAAAAAACAATTCTGAAAAACTATATTCGAAAAATAACTTGACAAAAGTTGATAAATTACAGCTACAAAAACTTCATATTTGTATCGGATGAAGTTCATAAACAGCCCCTAAAAATGGACATCAATTATCGAGCTGCAATAAAGGCGGCAAACTTTGGATCAAAACCTGTTGAGCCGAAAACAAAACTGTTGTAAAGAAAAATTGGTAAAATTTAAAAGTTTTTACGACCCATCCAAACTGAAACACATTAAATGTATCTCAAACGGATATTTTTTGCCCTCGAAATTATGCAAAATAAGTTGACTAAGTCGATATAAAATAAAATGAAAATGTTTGATAATTAAAAAAAAAACAAGAAAAAAATTTTAAAAAAACTCGAAATCAGACATAGTAAAATTACAAATTTCTGAAGTTTCGTTACCTCCAGACCAATATGGACCAATTACCTCCAGACGCAAAAAAATTGAATTCATTTTGAACTAAGCCAAAAATTACCAAATATAACTTTGACCATTCTGTGAACGAAGTTATTTACGGGAAAAAGCCTAGTACCGGATTGCAATATCCTTGCTAATCGCAAGGGTCAAAAAATTTTTAGACCAGCGTTGTATTTCATTTATTGTTTTCGTACTTTGTCTATTTTCTGCTTAAAATGCTTGTTTTTTAACCTTCCCATTTTATTTGGTAACAATTTTTAACAACTGATGTGAATTAAGAACATTGGAGCTTTCCAACCCCATCTTATTTAGCCTTTTTACTGCCCTATTTTTTCATGGAAAATATTCGCGTGCAAAAATCTTCTTCGAAAACGGCTAGTTAAAAAGTCGAAATTTGTCTGAAGAAAAAAAACCACCCCGAGCACAAATATTCCGTTACTTTCTTCACGAAAGTCGGAACAACAAGACTGCTCGTATATCAGGGCAAAGCCCTGAATGTTCCGACTATCCCTTAATTAATATCGATAAGTTTTTGAAAATCTTTTTAAATTTTGAAATTCTATAAATTTTCGACAAAATCAAAGTGTGAAATTTTTAGTCGTACAAAATTAATACGACCAATTAATTAGCCTCTATTCTATTTGGAACGATTTTTAGTGTGCGGGATTATTCGCCACGCATAAACAATTCGCGTTACGCTCTCAGCATTATGATTAACCTCTTCAAAGCGCGCATAATTTAGCCCAGAACAGGACCAATTTGGCAATTTTCGAACCCCAGAACTTTACAAAAAACATCAGAGCTGAAATATCTTTTTACATTTGAACTCAAAAAGTCGATATCTTCGATGTGCTTTTAAAAATGTTCGTTGAAAACTATTATTTCGATCGGCGAAAATTGACTGAATAAAAAAGCCACACCGAGCATAAATATTCCGTTTTCTTCGAAAGTCCGAACAATAAACGATGAGACACAGTGACATCATAACTATTGTTACTAAATATTAAAGAGCGCAGCTTAAATATTTAAAAAGATAGGACTTGAATATTTTCTCGTCCTCACCTAGCCCTACGTTTGCAGGACTGATAGTCGCCCCCACAGGGCGTATAGGTATACTGCACTGCAGCAGCCCCTCGCCCATCCCTTGGTCCCCTTCTTCCATTGGCCTGTCAGCCGAGGGGCGGGGCGGCAGGTTGAGCAGCTGTCTCGCTCTGGCCGAACTCTCTGCAACTACCATCTGCATGATTAGTCTTCCCTCCACTAATGAGCTGTCGTGATGTTGAACTGAAAACGCCCAAAAATAACATGAAAACTCATTTTTTTTAGCCAAAAAATGAAAAAATCTTGATGCTACAAGTGACCGATTAATATCATTCTGCAGTAGCCAAATAAAATATCAAATAAAATTCAAAACTTTCCATAAATTCGTCTAAAGTAATGGAATTCGAGTTATTTTCAGTACTGTTTTTTAAATGATAAGGTTTCAACAGTTCTCAATGCGTAAAATTCTTCGGAAAAAATTTTGGCTTAACTGGCCATCTTATTTACAATCAGCAGCGTGGTTAGGGGGTGTATGAAGGATGTGGTTGACATTTTGGCCGACCGACCCTGTGTTTTGACCATTACACGATAAAACCAGCTTTCATCTGAGTCTTGTCATTTTTTTTCATCTAATTTTTTGTCATTTTTGAAAGTTTTAACAGAAGAGAAGAATTGATTACTTACTATAACTCGGTGAACAAGAGTCTTTCCTGCCCTTTGGCCTGAAAAAAAATGTGGAATTCTAAGTTACATTCAACTAAGTGAATTTGGGGTGGGGAAAAAGGGAGTTTCAGGAGGAGACAACTTCTCGCATATTAAGAGACTGAAACATTTGGTCGATTAAAATTGACAAAGATTTCAAAAAACAAGACAAAAATTTGGACCCAAGAGTTCTTTAATCTTATGCTTTAAGAAAGCCCTAAAATAAAGTAGCATGTGTTAGCAGTGCAACTATCTCAGAATTGAACAAGACAGCTCGTATCAGGCCGAAGGAAGCCATGAATGTCCGACTGCTTTTTAAATTCTATGAAGTAGCGTTCGTATTATTAAAGATAATGAAGATTTCAAAAAATATTTCATATTTTTTGCATTTTTTTTAAAAGTCTTCCACAAACTATGTAAGCAAAAAATATATATAATTTGCATATAGCAAAGCATTAATAGGGACATTAGGCTGAGCTTCAGACCACTTGCGATGCAAAAATGAATGACTATGAATAAAATGAAACGAAAGAAAAACCAAAAAAAAACCTTCAAAAAATCGTTTTTGTCAAAAAAAATAAAAATTTGCAACACGAGCCCTGAATACTCGGATCAATATTACCTGCGTAATTAGAACTTTTACAAGGAGCTTTCGGAATGCTACAAATGCGAATTTCAGCCACAAATGAGCCTTTCTGCGGAGCTAGGCCGACAAAAACAAGCAGACAGACAATAATCTTAACCAAATTGAAATAATTGGCAAAGATTTACGTTTCTTGAAGCTGGCTGTTCAATTAGTTAAATTTTGAAAAAAGTCAAATTGCATTTGTTAGTTTGAATTCATTCACAAATAAAATCAGATTTGACTGGTTGGTATAAAAAAAATTAAAGACAATTCAAAAACTTTTTATGTTGATTTTTTGTTTCCCGAAAATTTCAATCAAGCCTTTCAAAGGATACAACTTCACTCATTTCCAGTTGATTTAAACAGCTTCAATGCATCTGGTTATCAAGTTTCGACTTTTGACTGGCCAGCAAAAAGAAAACTATAGTATCTAGACCGACTTTAATAGCTCGATAACATTCGTAGGAAAACAATTATTTTCAAAAATTTAAACCGTTGCGATAGCTTGGCTTGGCTCGTTCAAGTTAAAATTTATTTGAAGCAGGCGATGAGGCAATGAAACTTTGAAACATTTCATGCCGTCTAGATAGCTTGAATAAGTTGAAGAAAATAATATTTTTCGAAGCAAGCCATTTAACCGATGAAACCATGATTTATTTCAATTTCGTTCGTAGCTCGAATTTGTTCGTTTAAATTTACAGTTTTTTGGAGACATTTATGAAAAGACGAAGCTTTGAAACATGTTTTAATGCATTTTCTGATAGCTTGAATTGATTGAAGAAAAGTTATCTCTATTGAAGCAGGCTAACCAATAAAAAACTTTGGACTATTTCACTTTAAGTTTCACATCTTCTCAAAAAATTCAAGACTCAAAATAAATCGTATACATTAGGATTTTTGAAAAAATTTTGAACGTTTCCTGATGATTTTTTCAGCAAAATTTTTGCTTGAAACAGCTTTTTAAGCGATCTTTCAAATGATCGAACTTAAAATTCAAGCATGACTTTCAATTATAATAAGAATATTTCAATTTGGTTTTGATTGGCAATATTAACGCTCAAAACAACTTGAAATTTCCAACGAAGAGAGAAGCGGTTTGCAAAACGTTCAATTTACTGCGGTTTCTAAGCAAGTTACTAAAGCAATGAAACTTCCTAATATCAGAACTTTTTTGAGCAAGGTACTCAAGCGATTAAACTTCCAGACCGTAAAGGAGAGCGAATCGGTTCAAAAAAAATCGAAGCAACCTATTTAAGCGATGAATCTTTGAAATATTTTCAGTTAACTCATATCACGAGTCGGTTAGCAAAAAATTTAATTTTCAAAGCATGAACTTTCGCAGCATTGATGTTTTAATTGATTTGCTTCAAGTTGAAATGATTATGTGAAAATAAATCGTTGATTAACAATTGAACATACTATCAAGCTTTGAAATTGAATTGAGTTCATCTTGTTCAAAGGTGCAGGTATTCAAGAGATAGTGGTTGGAATTATTTCAGGTTATTTCGTAAGGCCAATCGGCTCGCGAAAAATTCAAGTTTTTCTCAGCAGACCAACAAGCTTTCAGATTTCAGAGAGCGAATCGGTTTAAAAAACTCAAGGTTTTCGAAGCAAGCTATTTAAGCGATGAATCTTAATGTTTCAAGTTAACTCATAACGCGAATCGGTTAGGAATAAATTAGTTTTTAGGAATGGATGAAACTGTTTTAATTGGTTTGCTGCAAGCTGAAAAGAATCTGTAAATGCAAGTCTTTAGAAAACAGTTAAAAACACAGTCAAGCCTTGAAGTTGAATTGAGTTCATCTTATTCAAAGAGCCAGTTACTGAAGAGATAGAAGTTTGAAGTACTTCAAGTTAATTTAGAATGCGAATCGGCTCGCGAAAAGTTCAATTTTTTCTGAGAAGGCCAACAATGCATGGATAGTTTTGGAATATTTAAAATTAAACTAAAACTTTATCTCTAGTTAGTCATGCTAAGTTTGTGTTGTTTCCCAAGTGGTGCGAAGCTCTTCTCTGCCTCTGGGTAAAAAGTTGGCGTTATCTTTCCTATTTGCTTGATGAGAAACCATCTCATCAATGCGAGAATCAAAATTTACTGCGAGATGTTATGAAATATTGTCAAGAATGCCCAAAACTGCTCTCATCCATCCTAAGCCAATTTCATCCGGACTTTGCGTAGTCCTCGAAGGCTTTTTTCTAATTTTTGAACAGCTTAATGCTTTTTCCTGCGTATCCCATTTTTTTCTGAAACTGGCATGGGCGCTCTCAAAAACAGGTAGTCCGTCTTTCTTTGTCCATTTATAAATAACGTTTTCAGCGCTAAGAATTTGTTCAGTTTATTTAAATTTGCATAACAGAATGGCCTTGCTTTGTATAATTCTGTTTCATTTTGCGATAACATTTCCCTGGTATATTACACAAAGAGAGTGCATTTTCGTCTGTACAAAAACGGCAAGTACCTATAAAAAGCTTTAGTTACCGCTTTAAAATTGAAATAGTCTGCTGTTTTTTCCTCTTCTGCATAGCATTTTCTTATACCTTTATATTGGTTTTATTTTCTCTTTCCTTCGTGATCGAAAACTAAAAAAAGGAAAAAATAACAAACGCAGCAGATAACAAAACTCAACGAAAATGAAATTTTTCTTTATCTAAAAAACAAAGGTGCCAGGCGTGGCCATGAGACATTGATATACTGTGGCAGAAACTGAGACAGAAGCTGTGCGAGTATTTTTCGCGATCCTTGTTAACAATTTTGTTACCAAAGCCAGCGCAGGATTGGTAAATAAAAATAATTTAACCGACCAGGAACTGGAATGATTCGGCCGACCATATTCTGAACGCGGAAAGAAAACTGCAACTTAATTTCACTGTTCCGTTTATCTTTCGTCTCCCATTTTTCACTTAAATTCTTTCGCTTTTCTGTTTTACTTTTTTGAAGCCCGCACCTGACAAACAGAGTCAATCTGCTCCGCTCATACTATTTCCCTTTGATATAATGAAACGCAATCCAAAGATAAACACCAAGATACCACAAGTGAGAAAAACAACAAAATAGCAATGGATTAGCGCTCGACCCCCTTTCATTTAAGTTCGCTCATTAATTTTGAACTGAATGCTGTGCATTTTTTGAACATAATTCTTCGACATCAACTATCATTTTGTAAAAAAAAAATTAGCAATTGATTAAACTACCAACACATCATACTGTGATTTCAAAAATATTTATGGTCATTATTTCTCTTGAGGCGCTCAGTTAATTACAAATTTTAGAAAAAAAGACAAAGCGATCTGAATTATTTTGTTTTCCACTCCAGATATCGGCTCCAGAAGACTGAAAAACCATCCATTGGTTAGTAGCCCGTAAATTTTCACATGCATCTCCAGAGTTAAAACGTATTATATTCCGACTTTTTTCTTAAATATTTTTTAAAAATGAAAGAACCAAAAACTTTTTTAGTCCAAAATTGCCTGATTTTTTTTTCTTGGAAAAACGATTTCTTACAGCATTCACGACGAATAAAACTCACGACTAACAAGTATTCAATAGCTAATAAAAGATTGAAACCAGTAGAATTGAATTTGAAGGTCAGCCTCTAATTAAACTACTGCCAGCCTATATCTTAATTTAGTCTGAGAAACGAAAACCAGTTTTTTTTTCGACGCAAACAATTATTCAATTTTTTTAGAATTATAATTAAGCTGAAAGTTGGTCTGAAAATTGAACAAACTCCAATTTGAGAGAAGATCACTGTTTTTTTTTATTTTGGTATTATTTCTAAAAACTTCGAATCGGGAAAACACCATTTTTTTCTCGAAACAGACACGGCTGAGAAGGCTTTGATATGATACCATACTTGATCCGACTACATTCATAAGAAAATACAAAAAGGTTTTTTCTTCAAACCAGTCTTTTCTGAGCGTAGTCTGATTAGAGAACAATACAAAAACACGTAGAATGCTAGTGATTAAAAAAACAGATGTCTTAGAAAAATTAATGGTCGGAACAAAAACAATGTGTGGAACTCAATACTTTCTGGGATTTTCTGGAGGTTCCAAAACAGCGCACTCTTTTCGGTGCTCTTTTTTTGTCGTTTGACAGTTTGTCATTTTACTCCAATCTTGGCCATCTATGTTAGGTGAGGCGCTCGATAAACTATGAAAATTTCTTTTTAGTTCAGTTTCTAAATGAAAAATTTGATAAACTGTTACTTCTGAACGTTATTGTCCCCATTTAGCTTAACCTTTTACGGAACGTTTGGCTAGTGAAACAACACATCGGATGGATTTGTTTGACTATCAGTTAACATTTCATTAAAAATAAAGTAGTAGCAACCTACTCATAGAAATGGATTTGTTCTTTGTGAACGTTAAGTGATGCAAAACGTTTAAGTTTGTTTGCTAAATTTGGTTTACTTAACCGCCTAGTAGTCGCACAAAAGTAAAATAACTTAACTCCAATCAACACTTAAAAAACTGCGAAGCACGTTGAAATCAATAATAGAGGTATATTCAAAAGCATACTTGATTAGACACACCAAAATCAAACTGATTAATGAGTTGTGGTTTCGTGAATCGTGATTTAAGAACTGAGTAGAAAAAATGTATATTGTCGAAGACCATCTAGACTCAAAATGACACCGAGTATAAGACATGCAAAAGCCAGGGACGGAGTTAGATAGAAGCATGTTTGGACTAGCAGAACATAAAATAGTGAGCAAAATACACAGCCAAACAACAACGTCACCAAATAACTTAGTTGAGATTTAGAGTGAACCAGAAAGAGCAATTGCAGCTTAGGTAACTAGAACCAAAATCATTTATTGAACTTAGAACAACAAACGCTATTTAAAATTAAGTCACCCAGGAGTTCCGTTTGAAAAGCAGTAACTGGTGGATTTTGGGGTCTATTGAAGTTGTAATTCTCTTCTGCTCGGTGTTTTAGATGGCATTCAGCTTACACGCATACATCTTACGACACAGCCTGATGCCACACGCTTAGCGTAGTCAGTCAGTCGTGTAGAATTCAATTAAATTCATCTGCTAAGTTGAATCTACAGCTGCGAAGAAAGAAACGACGCATCTCATTTCGGGACACAATTATCAGAAATTGTTCACTGTGAGAAACTTTGCCATTACTCGTCCCTCATGATTCAAACGAACGTTCTCCTGCGAGCTCGTTTCTATGGGATCATCAGTATTTGATTAATGCTACGCTACATATTCAAGTGTAACATAACATAGCTCAAATTTTTCGCCGTGAGTACGATTAACTATACAAGTAGTACCCACTAGCAGAATTCTCAGAACTAAAGGCCTGCAGGAATTTTTTTGTTTGAAAAGGGCCCAAGATTCATTTGAAATGTTCAAACGACCAGAAAAAAAATCATCTCAATGCAGAAGCGAGATTTTTAAGTTCCTGTGCAATTACCATAAAATATTCAAACCACAGCTATAGTTGCAAAAAAAATTGAATCACGACGGCAATAGCTTTGATTGCTTCTTCACACGACCCCATAAAACATTTACGGTCGCCCAATTGAATTCACGAGAAAAAACTACGGATTACTGAATCTGAATAACAGCGTTTTGAAAAAACATGGCTTGAATTTCACCATTCCTTTTATCTTCGTCGACAAATTTTTTCAACGTGGTTTTCCTGGCGGTTTGAGCGTTAAAGGGCAAAAGCAAAAATCAAACGTAAATATATTTAGCTTTGAAATGAATGCAATTTTAGGCCAACACCTTTCAATCAGTTTTTCATCACTGCGCTAATAGCTTTGAAGGTAAATCCATCAAAATCCATCACCCATAAATGTACATTTCTAATACAGAACTACCTAAGGTGGAAAATTTATGCAGAAAAAATGTAAAGTTACGGCATGTAATATCAGCACGCATAAATTAAATACGCAACAAGTTTTTTCCTCACTCAATCTACAGCCTATCTGATTAATAACTTTACTCATAACTACTTCGGCACAAAAAATGATCGACACAATTTCGTAATTCAAACCAACTACCTGAATAACTTATTTGATTGGACGAGAGATCTGCTTCAACAACATACCCAAACGCTCAACTACCCTTATTTCTGTTATCATTTTGAAACTTTCGTATTCTAGGCCGAATGCTGCCTGCAGTTTAGTCTGGGTCGCAAGCGCCGAAGTCAAATCTCCAATATCTTAGGCTGCCTTATCGTCCGCTTCTCTTAAACTTAGATCAGAAAAACTCAAAAACGTCAATTTACTAAATATGAATACGAACGGACTTGATCATCACATGACTGGATCCGATGCGGCAGAGAATTCAGAAAACCACCTCAAGGGTTCTTCAGATGCAGAAAACGAGACAGAGTCGTTAACGAATCATCATCCCGCCAAAACGAAACTGAGCGAAGAGAACAACTCAAATCTTACAGCATCAAAATTGGAATCCCAACCTGAGCCGGAAACCGATTCAGAATCTTCAGGCAGTGAATCCAGTGACTCAAGTGAGTTCGAGGACCCCGATGACCTGTTGACAAAGTTGCGCAAATCCTCGGAAGCCGCGCATACTTTGTATCTACTACAACCTATTAGAGATGCCTTAGCACAAGTAGAACTTCAAGAGGCTGACGTTGTGATTGCTGGATTCCCTAAAAGTGGTACCAATTGGGTCGAGCAGATCTGCCATCAGATCAGAACCAAGGGGACAGACGAAGACTTCGAGGAGCTGACAGACGAAGTGCCTCTACTACAACTATTCAGCATTCCCTTGGGATACGATCTGAATGCACCCCAGAAAGGTAGGTGTTGTTTTATTAAAAATAGTATTATTACACAACAAACTATATCGCCTCTCATGAAAATGTATCTCAATTGGTATCTTATTTTAAATAGTGCACTAATCTGGCTCAGGTTTAACGCACTTATCTTTCTGACAGGGGATTACAAGCTGTTCAAGACGCATGACATAATCACCCACCTGCCTTCGGGTGCTGAGAAAAGCAAGATTCTACTCACCCTACGCAACCCACACAACACTCTCTGTTCATACTATAAATGGGAGCCGGTGTTCACCGGATACGACCCACGCAGTGAGTAGACCAATAAAATTATAACCAGTTGCTGCGAAAGTAGCATGGAAAACTCCAACCACAATAATTTAAAAAAATACAGATTCGTTACCGTTTTCTCAGAAAAATGTATAGAACAACAAAAAATCAATAAAATATTTCCTAAATTTCAATTTTTTTAACAGAAAATTTTTTCGAACATTTGTTTTTTAAATTCCCAAGAAGGCGTTAAAAGAAACTTCGAAAAGTAATTTTACTGGAGCAAAACAATTGGCTCAAATTATCCTTCTATTAAAAACCTGCTTGCTTGTTGTTTTTACTATCGAAATTAGACTAAAAATCAAAAATTAAAACCAGATTTTCTCGGCACTGGAAAAAAATGTGATTTTGTAAAAAAATCGATTGAATCACGACTGAAAGGTCTTTAATGATATATCATTCGACCTATTCCAATGGTTATCAATGGTACCTTATTTTGCATGGAAAAAAAGTTGTTAAAAAATTAAGCTGTAGGGAAGATCCAATGAATTGCTGTACTGTACTCAAGATTTCGAATAAAAAATGAAACGACTTCAATTTAAAAGTGAAAGATTTTACAGAAGGCTCGACTAAGTAAAACTAGTGATAGAAGCTGCATCATTTCACAGCAGGGGTTTTTAAAACCGTTTTTTCACGAAGAAAAGAACCAATATTCGAGCTGTTCAGCTCACTACGGAGAGCCCCTGTTGTACCCCAGCTAAAAAAAACTACGTGCATATATTACTGCGCTGAGAATTGCTGCCTCAAAAGCAGGCAAATAGCGCGGGACCTAAAACTTTTCAAATCATGGTTTCAGGGGAGCTCACAATGGAGCAGTTTTTCCAGTACAAGTTCAATTACAACCAGACCCTCGTGCCATTGACATACTGGCAGTTCTTGCAACACTGGTTGCAACACATACACTCCATGCCATCAACATCATCATCATCAGTCGCAGATTCAGAACAAAAACCAGCCCAAGAGAATCATAATTCAAACACGGTGCTTTCCAATATGGAACGAAAAAATCAAAACGAGGAAGATAACGATGCCAAGCAGATTGTTCCGAGAGGGGATGGTAAAGTGAATGGCACAAGCTTTGCAACATGTACCTCCGATGCTATGCTGCAACGAGATTCCGAAGCAGATCATCTGACGACTGCTGATCTAAGTAGCAAGATGCTTCAAAGGAGTAACTGCCTCGTCGTTTTCTATGAGGATCTGTGCGAGGACTTCGAAACAGTTGCCGAGCACATGAGGAGCTTCCTTGGAACCCCTCTCAGTCAAACCGAGAAAGAACGGGTGCGACAACTGAGTAGCTTTGAATACATGAAGCAAAACGAGAGTAAGTTCGACTTACACGGATTGCGTAATCGGATAGCAGAGCTTGCAGACGACAACGATTACTACTTAGAAAAGACAGAAACGCCATCTTTTTTAAACCAAGGTGCCAAAAGAAAAGGAGTTGATGAGATACCACAGAGTTTGTTAGATACAATGGAAGAAGAGTGGAATAAACATATCACCAGTCAATTCGGCTATCGGGATTACCAGCATATGCGAGAGTCACTCTCAATTTTATCTCAAAACCACCCGCCAAACGATCCAGCTACAGCCGCAAATACGGGAGAGTAACAGCATTTTATCATTAAATTCGGAAAGCGAGTACAGCTGAACAAATGTTCATAGTTGTCTTATAAGCAGACAGTTTGAAACTGTACATATTTATACAGCACGCACCAACTGCTAAAATATATTCAATTTATTCTAGAATCTGTAGTAGACAATTAATTCAATTTCTATCATTCTCAGCGTCTATACAAATTCGCCAAACTTATCTAAGAGAAAGAACGAAAAACTATAAGCAGCTTGGTTCAGAAGATAGAGATAGCATATGAGCCGCGATTTATCATAAGATAAACATAATAATTTCAAAAATCAACCAGTCTCATTAGTTAACCTTAAAGCATCAACCCTGCAATTACCCCCTTCCCCAATCGATAGTGAGAAAAAATGGATTCTTCAAAAAATAATTTTAAGTATAACATAATACACACAGGCGAAGCAGAGCTTCGCATCATTTGCGATGAAAAATGCCTGACGATGATTACCACCAAATGAAAAGACAAATCAAAAATTGGAAAACAAACCTTAAAAAATTCGTTTATTTTTTGTCAAAAAAGTTATAAAAATTGCTAAATTACGTGCACCACTAAAAACTTAACAAAACACTTTTAACGCAAAAAGCAGAGAAACCGGACATTGCTGCGGGACCTGAGCCGACAAAAATTAGCAGACACGAAAGTCAAGAATATTCGAACATTTTCAGTTTCGACAAAAAAAACAGGTCCTGGCTGAATTCGAACTTCTGTATTTGTCGTCTAAAGCATGCGCGTTACCACTAAACTAAATGCACAGAACAATCATTGAATTCACAAAGAAAACATTTTTCAAAAGTTTTTAATGAACAGCATAAAAAAATTTAAAAGCAGAAAAATAGGCAAAACTTCTTGGAATTCAATCACTTGCCCAAAACAGGAACACACTGCAAAGTTTTTTGAGTCGAGTAAAAATGCCCAAATTGCGGTAACTAAGCCGACAAAAAAATCAGACAAACACAAGTCCGACAAATATTTTTTTGACGCGCGGATAATTTTCCGCTTACAAAAAAAAAACAGGTCCTGGCATGTTTCAAACCGGTGACCTTTGTCTTTACACGCAGGTGCGTTACGTCATCGCACCTGCGCGAATTAACGTTTGATTTTGGATGTCACATGAACCACAGGTACAATCCTTCACGTGATTTTGTCAAACTAGTTGTTTTCCCGAAAAAAAGTCTATTCAGGTAACCGCAAGCGTAATAATATCATCTAATTAACAGATGTGTTTAAAGAAACATGAGTAGAGGGTCATCTAAGCTAATTTTATAGCCTAGCAAAATTCGAGACAGAGGCGAAACTGAGCTTCGCATCACTTGCGATACAAAAAAGTCAAAAATCAAAAGAGACAAACAGAAGACTGACAGATACTTTTTTGACGCGCGGACCATTTTCCGCTTACAAAAAAAAACAGATCCTGACTGGTTTCAAACCAGTGACATTTGTCTTTACAAGCAGGCGCGTTACGTCTTCGCACCTGCGCGAATTAACGTTTGACTTTGGATGTCATATGAACCACAGGTACAATCCTTCACATGATTCTGTCAAACTAGTTGTTTTCCCGAAAAAAAAGCCTATTCCGGTAATCGCAAGCATAGTAATATCATTTAATTGACAGATTTATTGATAAAACATGACTAGAAGGTCATCTTAGCTGATTTTATAGCCTAGCAAAATCGAGACAGAGGCGAAACTGAGCTTCGCATCACCTGCGATACAAAAAAAACCACATATCAGTAGAGAAGGTCTCAAACAAAAAGTGAAAACCTTGATTAAATTCTGTTTAAGAAATCGACAGCAAAAAAAACAAAGAGTCTCTGCAAATATTATAGAAAACAGTTAACTAGAACACAAGAACTATTCTGACTATATGAACGAATTTCATTTCTTCCTCATAACCAGGAAATTTTATTAACTTACTCAGAAGCTTTGCTTAAATTTTACAACCAGGCTTGGGGCAGGAAAAGGCTCCATCCGTAATTTGCTATAAAGTGAGATAAAAAAGGAAATTTCAAAAAATTATGCAAAATTTTCAAACAATTGCCGCAGAAAAAAAAACTTGCAGAAAATCTGATAAAAGTTAAAAAAAACTTTTTCCTTCTGAAAAATTCAGCACAAAATATGCAATCTCCTGCGGCACTCGCCATATTCTTTCGTAAGCAATTCCTTCAAATCAACATTGCAAAAAAAAACTTTCTGAATTTAACGAAATTTTTCTCAGAAAAACTTCAAAACAGGAAAACAATACAATATGCCATCAACTTGAAAAGATTTCAAAAGAAACTGCACTAACCGATAACACAATAAACTAATAAAAACTGTTATTGCGTCTACGCACTTTTAGAACAAAAAGAAATAAATCAGAAACCTTGCTTTCGAAAAAACTATAGAACTAACATAAAGCTTTTTTCCAGGAAATACAAACCAGGAAATCATTAATACATTTAAACACTGAACAAGGGAAAATGTATTTAAAAAATCTACCAAAAAAGTTACAAAATTGAACACCCGGCAAGTAGTAACATTTGTTACACGTGGAGATCCTTATAACTGGAAATCCTGTGAACAAAGTTCGTTACGGGAAAAAAAGTCTAGTACCTGATTGCAATACCCAATGCTTATCACTAGGGTAATTAAAACGTCAAAAAAAATTTCGCGCGTTAATGAGGAACGCAAGTTTTATATATGCTTATACATAAATATATTTTTTAACCAAGTACATGCTTGAGAAGGAAATATTACGGAAAGACACGCAACAAGGGCATTTGCACGGTTGATCCAAATAAATTTAAAAAAATCAAAAAATTAGGTTTCCAGATCAATTCTTTTAATTGCTCCACTTTTCGATGAAACTGACCAAAACGTTATAATTCAGTCAAATTTCGACTTTTTAAATCAACGTTTCGGAAAAACTATTTTTGCCATCTGATATCTTGACTATCTGACAATAGAACTTACAGAGGCGAAGCTCTGCTTCTCAAATACAAGCGAGGAAAATGCAAAAAAGAGCTTAAGACAAGCAAAGCAAAGTGAAAGAAGGAAATATACACTTTCAGTGAAAGATTAAATATACACTTTCAGAAAAAACTTGAATGCCGATTTTGAGATTAGGGGTATCACGTTCTCACACCTGCTCCACGACCGCTTGTAATTTCACTAACACTGGTCATCAAAAAAGCAGCAAAAATTTGCGCAAGAGAAATAAAACAATTTCAAGGTTCAGGGTTTGAATTTCCGACCTGATGATTACGAGTGCCACTCACTTCCTCGCATCTGCGCCACGGTCACTTGAAGGTAAACTAGTGACCCAGCTAATGCTGGATGTACCTATTTTAATATTTTTAATAATATATTCTACAAATACAGAAATGCGTAACTTTCTGAACTTCAAAAAAGGACCTAGCGCAAAACCCTAGTGAGTTCTCTGCTTAAATTGGCCGGGTACTTTTCGAAAAAATGAAAAAAATCCAAAATACTATCAAAAAGTCAAAAATTTATACAGGGAAGATTTCCAGGCCCTGATTTTTCGATCAAACTCTAAAAATCAGATTTAGCTAGAAGTTTTTCAGAAAAGTGGCGCACTTGCTATAAAGACAACCGGAAAAAAATTCAAAAAATGGATTTTCCCGATGTCCATATCGGCTTTTCTACAAGAAAATAGGGCAAAACAGATTACGCAGGAAAACTCTAAGCACCATGTTAAATTCAATGAGCTATCAACCTCGGATTAAGCAGGTTAGTTTTTGAGAAACAATTTTCCAAAAAACGGGCAAAATTTCAACCCTCAGTGCATAGCACATTGCGCGGAAAAGTTCAGTGCTGTTTTTTTTTCTTTCGGTTAAAACCCTTGATCTCCGATTTGGCAGACTAGTTTTTGAGAAAAATTTTAAAAATTAACCAAAAAGGTAAAAAATGGGCTTGTTTGAGGCCATAACTTTATTCTACTAAGCGTAGGGAAAATTCGCTTGACAAGGGGAGATCTTCATGATTTGTTCGTTTGATTGAAAACGTCATCTCAGATTTGTGCATTAATAATTTGATAAAATGAAAAAAAATTCCAAACAAATAGGTCAAAGGACCTGCTACTGAAACTTTTGAACGCCGTATAACGTGAGGTAAAACGAAAAGAGACCTGCTAAATATGCAAGCACAGTTGTTTTTGAGAAAAAATGAAAATTCTGCGAAATGAGCGAAAAATTTTACGAAGCGTCGCGAAAAAATACTAAACAAAAAACAACAAAAAATCCATACATTTTCATAATACCTGATGTTCCAAACAGGACCTAGCACTAGCCAAAAATAATTCAACAAACTATGCTATTAAATTATCTTTGCTTAAATAGACCTAAATATGATGAAACTGAAATATACCAAAAGTGTCATCAAATGTGCACTTTTATTTGCGACTCAGCCTAGAAAAAAAAACATTCTTCGTAATAATACAGAATGCCTCGCATGTGTAAAAAAGTTTTTCACCTGTGATCATCAGTTATCAGGGGTTTGAAATTTTCTAACTTGGCTTATTTGTAGTAATTAATGCGCTATATGCCACCTTCTTAAAAATAGCGGAAGAAGCAAAAAATCATTCTAAAATGAATTGAGGCCAGCAATTTGGTCTTATAATATCAAACAAAACGCTAAATACATCCCTTTAAGGAAGACAAAAATGGAAAAAAAAATTTTAAATTATATAGTTGATTTTAAAAAAAAAAAACGTTTCTTCGGCTTTAATGGGTAGTCGGAACGGTTAGGGCTTTGCCCTGATATACGAGCAGTATGCTATGATTGATTTTCCTCGGGGAAAACCCTTTTGATTTGCAGATTTTATACAGTTGCTGCTCAAATCAATTGTCACATGTAAACGTCTCAAGTGGCATTTGAGATCTAAATTTTATTTCAACCTAAAAAAAATTTTAATAACAATTTGTATCCATTCGAGCATAAATAATCCATATTTAATTAGATATTGTCTCGATTTTCGAAGCACTGAATATTTATGATTGTGGTATTTTTTACTTAAACAAATTCCGACTTTTTAGATAAGCGTTTTTGAAAAAAAAAATTACACCATCTGAAAGATATTGTTATTCGGGACTCAGATGTAAAAAAAATCTCACTTAAATCATTTTCTGTTAAGTTATGGGGTCAGA